TGATTGCCATCCCATGGTCCATAGGATTCAATGAGGGATGGCTTTCCCTTCTGTACCAGAGTCAACCGGCTTGAGTGAGGCTTGGATAACAGAGATAATAGAGATGCGATCGATCGATTCGAATAATTAAAACAACTCACCTGTTGACGGCCGAGCTCGGAATTCTCTCCTGTTTACCATAGAAATTCAATGAGGGAGAGAAGTCAGCGCTGTACCTTCAATTAACACTCTTGATAATACCGCATGCTTACCTCATTGCGATCGATTCGATCGATCTTTTTAATAGACCTGATAATCGTAATGGACTTTCGCTCCGATCAGTTTATCCTTAACCTTAGTAACTTCAACGGTTCTTTTTATCCACGAATCGATCTAAATCTTTCGAAGAGAACCTGTTACTTAACGATACACATGACCGTTGATTCTGCAACTGAAGTGCGGGTACTCTATTTTACACAGTAAACGCCGGCAAATCCATTCCAGAGTGCTACTGAGGGGGTAACCAAAAGGAGCGTGGTCTGGGAGACCAAATAGGAAATAGGAAATAGGAAATAGAAAATAGGAAATAGGAAATAGGAAATAGGAAATAGAAATAGGAAATAGGAAATAGGAAATAGCATTAAAGGGGTTGAGAACTCAGGCAGTTTACCTGCCGAGGTAAAGGGGTTGAGAACTCAGGCAGTTTACCTGCCGAGGTCAAAACGAGTTACTGGTACCTTCCGGTACGGATAAGCTCTGTTCCAACAGCTCCTGCTGGCTTGATTTACTGTGTCTGCACCAATGTCATTTGTGGAAGCCACGTTCGCGTGTGTGACAGCTTGCCTTGCCTTCTCCAATGTCATCAAACATCAAGCTTGTGTGTCCGAAGCGCAGACAAGGAAAGAAGCAACACGTATCGTCCTGCTGCTTTGTTTCGTGGCTTCACCAATAGAATCGAATCCAATCGGATTGGTTGGTTTTGAAAAATAGAATCCAAATTTTAGCATTGCCGTAGTGGTGTGCATGAATAAGCATTGCATTGGAGAGGAATGAACGGGATAGCATTGTCCAAGAAAAGAGAGCACTTCTGGAGAAAGAAAGAAAGTCAAGAAGGCATTGAATTGAATTGTTGAGATTTTGGTTGTGACCATGATGAACAACATGGACAATATTAGCAGTTCTCCCCATTCGTTGGAACGTTTGTCTTCCTCCAAAACAAGCCAAGGCCAACAACAACAGCAACAACAAGAGGATGAGTTTGGTTGGGATTGGGAAGAGACCATGTCGGTGGCTACGGCCAATACGGGCAGTGCGGAAGCTGACTTCTGGGTGGATTCGTTACCACCGCAATTGCACCCTGCTGTGTCTTTGGGCATTCGTCGCGTGTCGTCGTGTGCCTATTTTTCGTTGCAGGGTTCGATCGACAACGCCAACAACTATGCCAGTGAGCTGGACTTGTACTCGCTGTCGTCCGAAGTCATTGGCGCCAATAAGAGTGACAATACAGCCGCCGCGGCCGATATTCTCTATCACGACATTTTGATGGTGGTCCTCACGTATCTCGATGCCGAGTCGTTGGCGGCCTTTTCCGAAACGGCGCGACGTGCCAATTTTGAAGTCTACTATTTCCTGCAGCTGCAATTGCAACGCGCTCTCTTGGAAGATGATTTGCTGACGACATGCTCTACTACGACCGCGGACAATGACCGATTGTCGGCCATTGCCGGATCCTGGGCCATTTCCCGATTGGCATCGTTGGATCCGCAAGACGCACACAATGTCGTGCAAGAATACCTCGATTCCAATTGCACGCTCCGGACCATGCCGCTGTCGCATTCGCTCGCGTATATTCGAGAAGTGCTGCGCCGCAATGGATTTCCGGGGGCAGGACAACAACAGCCACCCACACTGACAACGAGTGCGCAGGCGGCGCTGCTCATTGGATTGGTAGGAGCGGCGACGGTCATGTCAGGCAATGCCGAAGTCGTCGAATCCTTTGGAACCGAATTGCCCAATATGCTCTTTGGAGTCGGATTTGTTGGATCACTCATGGGCGCGGCCAGACATCGCTGGGAGACGACACAAAACAGACCTCAACAGCAGCAAGAGCAACCACTCGGACAAGAACAACAAAATGAACAAGCACCACCAGCACAAGCCAGAGATGAAATTCAATCCACCATGAGAGAAACGGCAGAACAAATGCGAGAGGCCGCCGAACAAATGGCAAGGGCTCTCCAAGACATGCTACAACAAATTCGAAGCACTGCCACCAACAATAATAACAATAACGATACAGCGTCTAGAAGACGAAGACGACCATCCAATAATAATGCTCACGGTGGTGGCTCCATTTCAAGACGCATGTACGAGGCATTGGTGGGGGCACCCGACAACAACAGCAGTAATAGCTTTTCGCAGCATTTGCCGCAAGTCGAAGAGGAACCGGAACACGATTTCTTTTCGCCCAACCCCTACGATCATCTACCCCAGCCACATCACAACAGCAGCAGCAGCAGCAACAAACTCTAAAAAATGAAGACGATAATCCGCAATCAGATGATGCTCCGTTGAGTACCATTGACGACAATGACGACACGAGTCCGGAAGAAGAAAAGAGGATTGTACCCGTCAAGAAAATGCCAAGTGGATGTGTGGGAGCCTATTTTCGCGCCATTCGAAGAGCCAGCAATAGTATTACCAGAATTGTCAAGCTACAACGTCGATCTCGATTTGATGCGCTGCCCAACAAGGAAATGGTGGCGCGATCTTTTATCGACGCCTGTTGCTCCGATGAAAGCATCCATTCCGTCAGGGATCTAGTGCAAGTACGCGGGACCATTGATGCCGATGGATTTTACGTGGGTAGCGACGGGACCGAAACTTGTGCGCTTCATGCCAGTGCCTTTCATGGGGCCACACAAGTCTTGGAATTTCTATGTGGTGGAATTGACGAACGAGATGCATCGCAAGATGAAGGACTCTGCTGTGTCAACTTGCAAGATGCCAATGGATGGACGGCATTGCATTTTGCAGCGGGAGCGAATTGCGTCGAGTCGGCACGCATCTTGGCCGACCGAGGCGCCAATCTCAGTGTCGTGGCGGAAAATGGATACACCCCCTTGCAATGGGCACAGCGATTGCGCAACATGGAAGTTGCGGAAGAGTTGCAAAGGCGGTTGGAACAAACTGACCCCTATCATGCCGCAAACAATCGATGGATGGGAGCCAGTCAACCTCTGTCCATGATTGCACACCGCTTTTTTGGGTTTGCACTCGTGCCGACTCATTAGGAAAGATTTGCGGCAAGGCGTGACAAGGCAACAGCCACAGTTAATGAGCGGTATGTATTGGTATTGGATCGATTTGGAATTGTTAGTTAGAAGAGAGCGTTTGTTTGTGCAAGAGGGCCTGTGTTTGTACCGTTTCTGGTATGGCTCCTGCGACAGACTATGATTAATTAGAAATAATGAACATGTATTTTAGAACCTTATAGCTAACCAAAGAGTGGTAAGACGAACAGCAGCTTCAATGTTAGTTATAGACTTAGTGCTACGATGTACCCGGTTTCAAGGATGCCAGTGGCTGACTGCCGCCCAGAAATCAAAATAGACACGGTACCGGTACTCTCTGTTGATGCCCAAGGTGGTGCCAGCCATCCCAGCACAACCGTTTTCTCCTGCGCATGTCAAAACATGCCCCCGCTCCAAATGCTCAGCAGCAACAACATAGCGACTATGTTCACCCCAAGGGCGAACACTTTCATGAAGCCATATCAGGATTTGAAAAAATCCATCTGTTGGGGCAAGTCCATTGGTGCCATGGACATCCCCTAGCATGTGCCCACTTGAGAGAATCCAGCTGCTTATCTCTAGCTAGCAGCACCTGAGAATGTTCTACTACAGTATGCCATATACATTTTTCCTCTGGCACATTTCAAGGCATCTAGATGCTCCTCTTATGCAGCATTGAAGCCCGTGAAGCATGTGGAGCAAGTGTAAAGTCATTTCTGACCCACGCAAAAAATGGAAAGATGTGGTACGGAAACCCTGATACAAATACCCTTTTGATCCAACAAGAAGTCAAACGCAGAGGAGAGCTTCAGCTTGTTCAAGCTAGTTTCGGTCTTAACCGTGGACATGGTGTGGCCTGATGAGGCAAGAATGGAGCTGTGAGAGTGGTTTGATAATCTTGCGTGCACAGCGTGGATAGTTTTCTTTCGTGGACTTCTGACCGTTGCAACTCGAAAGATCCAACCGGTGCGCGAAAGTGGGTGCGCATCATGATTTGCCATTGCTTTTCCAATGCCGGCTTCATTTTCAACAACAAAGATGGGAACCATGACGGGTAGCAACAACTTGCAGTCACTCAAGTACAGCAGCGGCGATAAGCCGACCTTGGCTGTGTTGGATCAACTGTTGATCCCTCATGAGAAGAAATACATTGACATTCCCGATGTGGAGGCAGCATGGGGCGTCATTCGTTCGATGCAAATCCGAGGTACTTTTTGTTTGTTTTTGTCTTCGCATTGTTTTTAATGTTGAACCAAAGGCTGATTCTATGATTTTTTGGTAGGCGCCCCGTTGATTGCCATTGTGGCACTGTTGGGTCTCGCTGTGGATCTCAATTCAAATGCCAAGACAATTGGCGAGTTGGATGCTATTAAAGATGATGGGGATGCCTTGATGAAATTCATTGAAACCAAGTTGGATTATCTGTCCACTTCTCGTCCCACAGCCGTCAATCTATTCAATGCAATTGCCGAATTGAAAGGTGTGCTTCAGAATGCCAAAGCCAAATTTAATGGAGAAGGTACCATTCGCGGTTGCCTTTGCAAAGCCGTCGTCCAGCACACGGAATTCATGCTGGAGCGAGATGTACAGGACAATAGGCATATTGGAAAATTTGGAGCCGAGGAAATTTTGAAAGGAAAAGAAGGAAAAGTCACCATTATGACAATCTGCAATACTGGAAGTTTGGCCACTGCGGGATATGGAACTGCTCTAGGAGTGGCCAGGGCTCTGCAGGAGATGGATAAACTGGAAAGCATCATTGCATTGGAGACCAGACCGTACAATCAAGGATCACGATTGACAGCTTTTGAAATTGTGGAAGAAAAGATGCCCGGTGGAACTCTGATTTGTGATTCCGCAGCAGGGGCCATGATGAGGGTAGGTTGAGCCAAGAGTGAAAATGGATTCGACTCTGACAATCACTAATGTTTGCGCTGCCATGCACCAACCTACATGTACAGACCAAGAAGATTGATGCAGTCGTGGTGGGCGCGGATCGATGCTGTGCCAATGGAGATACTGCCAATAAGATTGGCACTTACAATGTGTCAGTGGTAGCTGCTGGACACGGTGTTCCCGTGTACGTGGCATCACCCTTTACGACATTGGATGTGTCACTGACCAACGGCGATGGGATCACCATTGAGGAACGGCCTAGCAATGAGTTGATCTCCTCCGCCAAAGCTCCACCATCCATTAATTGTTGGAATCCAGCCTTTGATGTCACTCCCGCCAAGTTCATTGCTGGGATCATTACCGAAAAGGGTGTCATTTTGCCCGAAGCAGACGGATCTTTCGATGTGCCAGCGTTTGTGTAAGTAAACGAATGAAGGTTTGGTGAACGGATTGCATGATTGGGATTTCCCCCCCTGACGGCGCTTTGTGATCTCATCTTCTCGCTTTTTCCTGTTCCGTGTCAATTTAGGAAGAAGCACTCATCTACTTGAGAGCGGACAGATCCAGAATGACATGATCTGATGCTTGAACAAAAGAATGTCGACAGACAGCATGCTGTATCTAGCTAGCTGCTAGTGGTTACAAGGTTGAAAGTTGCATCATAGCTAGGATTTATTCTATTTGCAAGCAATAGATTTATGATTCCTTTATATGTTCCTTTTCGTCGTCATCGCCCCCGACGCCGCCGTCTGAGTTTCGAAATAGTTGCATTGACTGGTTGAGTTGTAGCTGTGGTATTGTGTACCGGTAGCTTCTTTGAAATAACATCATCAGTGGTGGAAACAATGGCACCAGACTCAAGAACCTTGGGCACAGCGTCAGTTGCTTTTGTTGCTTCTGTGTTTACTGCGACCTCTGAGTTTTCCCCCACTGGTAATAACGTGGCATTGGATACCAACTTTTCACTGGTCTCTAGCTTGACCGCAGCTTCTCGCACTTCCACATTAGTATCTTGACTCTTCTTTTCGGGACCTGGCGCGGATCGACTCTTGGAGGTTGTATTGGTGGGCAACCCCCCTGCGAGTAATTGTTGCAAGGACGGATGATTGCGTCCTCGTACTTGGTGATTATTAGTATTCTTGTTGTTGCTGCTTCCCTGACGATCTTGTCGCTTCCGTAATAGTACCCCCGTATGATTATGATTGCTGGTCCAATTACTGCCGTGACTGTGTAGTTCGGTTCGTTTGTGCGCTTGAAAGGCGGGATCATTGTCGTGTATATGATTTTCCTTGTACATGAAGAGTACCAGAGGAAAGAATAAAAAGACTAGAGAGGTGTAGAATAGCATTCGTTTGGGGACTTGGACATGAAATCCCTTTTTGGATTTTAGACTGGCCTTGAAATTGTAGGCATGTTTTTCGGCCTGCTTGGCCTTGAGCTTGACATAGTTTCCCAACCAGGAATCGGCAAATTGTTTGGCGGAAATTTGGACAGGAGAGGATGCATTGTGGGCTGTTGGACTGGTCGATTCTTCCGAGTTGATTGTAGAGACGCCGCCTTTGAAGAGCAGGGGTCGCATTTCAATGCCATGATCTTCTATTTTCTTTTGTCGTCCTCGACTCTTCGGTGCAGCAGGGCTTTGGGCTCTGGCAGAAGGTGCTGTTGATGCAGTAGCTATCGTCGTTCTCTTGGTAGAGTCTCCTCCTCTTCGTGACACGGCCTTGCGGCTAAAGTTTTCATTGTCCATGGCTCCTTCGAAGAGAACCCGACCAATGTCTCTCTCAAACGCCACCCACAAATGTCTCGTTCCTTCCCTCTAGCTCTCTCTCTTTTGTCGATACGGCAAGGCAATGGATGATCAATGAGTATGGTGGAGTCTGGTCCGTGCAGACGGTAGTAGGCAGAAGCCTAGCTGGCTAGTTGTCTAATTGGAATGGGAGATGCGGAAGGCTCGAGTGGACCAGCAGAAAGATAGAGGCGAAAGATTTTGGCCATTGTCAAGGCGCGCACTTCCTCTTGGGAAGTGTGGGTTCGAAGGCCGCACACTTTCGCTGGATGGACCAAGGAAACAAGGTCGTCTGGCTCATCATTGGGAAGGTGAGATAAGATAAAGGAAGCTGCGGGACCACATATCGGTAGTCTACATGATGTACTCCAGCATAGCTTCCAGCATAGAGTTGGTTTGAGGCACCCCCAGGCTGGCAGGCTGCATTCATGATGAACAAAATCTTTTCTAGCTAGCTAGCTAGTACGATATGGTACGGAGTAGCTACTACACATGTACCGCTAGCTACCGGTAGACTTTTTATTGGCTTTGGTAAAGAATCTGGTGGCCATTTGGCCGTGCCAGTACCAAACGTAGCCTTAGATAACGGTATTGTCATACTAGACCCATCCTATTGTTGTCGTTCTTAATTTTTTTTCTTCCGCTTCTTCTTGGTCGGCTCTTTCTTCATTGGCTCCACAGTCAAAGGTGCCATGATTGTGCATTTCTCTGTCACATCTTCGATGATTTCAAAATCAGAAACATCATCCAACATTGCCATGTCTTTCTTGTCCTGTTCCGAATCCACCTCGCCAATGTCACCAAGATCGCTCGCCTCAACGTTCACTTTTCCTCCTTCGAGATTGCGATCAAAGGAATACACATTACGCTTCTTAATCATCAGATACTCAAATGGGTACTTCAAATTGTTTTTGTCCTCATCCTTTTCGCCTTCCTCCTCCTCGTCAGAATCGACTTCATACTCTGCCATGCCATTGTTGTCAATAACATCCCCGTACAGAGCTTCTGTGGTGGTACAAGGGTGAATTCCTCCATTATGCTCGAGGGGTGTCTCCAGCAGCATTTGCACCACTGGCCAAGCACTGGTACCGTCTTTGGATGTGGCACAACACCAAAAATGTGACATGGCAGTCCCTCCAACCTCACGTCCCCACTCCAGATGAAACGCAGGTTGTCCCGGCCATATTCCCACGCCGACATACGCATCCTTCATCTCATCCAACTGGGGAAAAAGATGTGTTCCTCTCTTGCAATTCCTTGATTCGCTCGCCCATCGCTTTGGGGGTTGTCAACTTGCAAAACCCATTGAACCACAGACCGGTAGTCCCAACGGTGTTGGTCAATTGCTTATAGTCCGCTGGAATGGTAATGTTGAAATCCTTCTCAAAGGCATCCCACTCGGCAGCCGTGGTGCGACCATGAAATCCTTTGACGGTCTTGGCACGCCGCAATAGGATCCGAGCCAAAGGTGCCACCAAATGAATACCCCGTTGCACGACCTCAGGCTTCAATGCAATTTCTTCGTAGGTACGTGCCTCTCTCTCGGGCATGATGATGAAGAATTGGGCCCTTTGACAAGGAAAAGGTGTTATTATGGACCAAACAAAACTATTCTGCGAGTGTAGTGGGGCTTTGCTCTGTGCAGCATCAGCCACAAAGATGCCAACAGTAACAGTGGATGTTTTCTGGAGGGCTCCGTGTCCACTGGATCAAAGAAAGATGTTGCTGTGCCAAACAGCACTATGGGAGTGCAGCTAGGCTTTGCTCTGTGCAGCACCCGTACCGTACCGGCACCGTGTCATGCCAGCGGTGGATCTTTTCATGGCGGGGGCGAAGAAAGATGTTGCTGAGCATTTCTTGGGTACCACCGGTTATCCAGACCCACTTCTCGCCCTTTCCTCAATGAACTCAACCAAGTTTGTGAGCTCCTTCCAATTCGAGGAGGTCCCTTCAACGTCCTTTTCGGTCCACTGCCTCAATGATCTTGGGAACGTCTTGGCATTGCCACAATGCAGTCAGAGCTGTCAAGACACCAATTATTGAGGCTGCCGAAGGCATGAGCCCTCGACAAGTTTGATTTGGATTGGCAGATAGCTATGTCAAGGCATGCTAGCTGGCTGCAGGCAGCCCTGTCAGCCAGCCATCTGTTCCTCTTTTGGCATGATCCTGAATTAGGGTTTGGAACACCATCACATCATCACATTCACAACGACTCAACTCATGCAGGTCGTTGAAGACAAGTAAGGACAACAAATCAAAAACAACCATAATGGGCGGAAACAATCCCACGCAAGAATTCACGCAAATGGCATGCCACAAGTATGGATGGAGTGCTCGCTTTGCCAAGGAATCCGTGGAGGATGGCCGCGACGACAAGACGCTGTGGGTGGCCCATGTGATCGTCGGACTTCACGATGAGCGAAGGTTTGTTTCCGACGATCATGAGAGCCCGGACGACACACCCGTAGGAACCAAAAAGGGGATTGCTTCGGCGTCTAGGGCTGCTCTAGAGGGACTCGCCCAAGAACTGGCAGTGCGAGGTTCCATGCCGCGCATGGAATTGACCCAAGTATTCCCACTCTATCCTCCCGCTGCTGCCGGCCAAAACCAGCGCCACCACCAAAAACCCCGCTTTTTCATCAAGGGATCGTCACAACGAAACTGGGATGAATTCATTTGGAAAAAGCAGCCACAACCAAAGATAGTGGGTGTTGATTGCGAAGGCAATCAGAGCTACCCACCTGTTTTAGTACAAGTAGCGACAGATGACTGTGTCATTCTCGAAATCACATCCATGAATGGCAATCAGCTTTCCCACAATATGCAGCGTTTGCTAGCCGACAATTCCATACGCAAAGTGTTTTGTGACAATTTCTCTCATCACGATAAAAAGTCATTGGGACTACTACATGCACACAATGACAATACGAATAACAACAAGGACTATTCTACCGGCCCCATTGTGGATCTAGAAGTCTTGGCGTCGCACCCATTAGGACCTGTCAAAGTGCCAAGAGGACTCTCGCGGATCATCACGTTGGTCATGCCGGAGCTAGGTGTCGTGGTTGGGAAACCTCCCAACAAAACGGGTAAGAGGATGAAAGATGTGGGCCGTTTCACAATGATTGAACAAGGCAAGGCACCGCCCATTACATCTCTACGGGATTTGTCGCACAAGGAAAAGTTTTATGCGGCCATGGATGCATGGGCGACCCTACAGGCCTACAAACGGTTGGTGGGGAGTGAAGAATGAATGAAGCAATGGGGAATCAAACAAAACTGGAGTTATCTACTACAATAACATTACTACTACGCAACAAAAGGGTCATGATCGAATAGCAGTGAGGAATGCAGCAGGATTGGAACGAATCAAACAGTACAGGGAATCCAAAGAATCCACTTGTCCCTTTCGACTCTCGTAGTAACAGCGGTCCTCCGACGCAACATAGCTCTGCCTCATAATCCGGTCCACGCGCTTTCCATCCTTTTCTGCACCCGTCATCTTGTGCCACCAAGTGCATTCTAGTTCAAAGCTCTTGCGACCAGCGACACTGGTGGTAACAGCCAACAAGAGACAGGCGCTTCCTACCGCTTTGGAAGCCGCCTGAGCCAGCTTTTCCAATCCATACATCCAAGAGTGACCATTCTGACAAGCCAACTGCAAGGGCAACATGCCACTGGCATCTCGAGTGGCCACTGCCGAGAATGGACTGGCATTCACAATGGTCTCTAGCATAGTTCCATCAATAGTCTTGCATACCAAGAGAGTGTATCCATCCGAGAAAGTAATGGTATCTTGGAGCAATCTTCCTGGGTTGCTGGCAGCAATGTGGATTGGAAGGTGATTGCCAACGGGGCCTGCCACTGTGAGCTGGTCACGGTGAAGCTTCAGTACCCGAAGGAACACTGGCTCTTGGAATCTGTAGCTGGAGTATGCCTTACAGGATGACGTGGATGCAATTGCCGCATGCAGCAAAAACTTGTTTGGTTCTTCTGTCAAGAGCCGTGACAATGGAATGTCATTGTCAACATAATAGGTGCCCTTCATGAGGAAGGAGAGTGTTGACCACATGTTTTCCTTCAACTCATCCACAAAGTTGGATGCAAGCATGACCAAGTCTCCTTGATTGGTTTTGTAGGCGCTAGTATACTCTGGCTGGTGAGGTTTCGACCTTTTGCATTCTCGAAGCATCGTCCACAATTCACAGGCTCTTGCAAGGGCCTTGTGCCAGCAAGTCTTATTGTCAGGTAGCAGTGGGAATCGTCGCTTGGTTGGGAGCTTTTGCTTCCTTCTTGACTGGTTCTCGAGATTGCAAGATGCCTTGTAGAGCTGTTTCGCCATCTTGAAATCATTGGACGCCAAAAACTCATTCCACACGTCCACTGGAGTTGCAATCTGTATTGAGCACATCGTCGCCATGAATCTCATCTTGAATATTGTCCAACCTGTCGGCCAACCAATTCTTGTCCTTGTTCTTTGCTCCAAAGTAGTGCCGCTGGTCTTTGTGCCTCTCACAAGATCGGAAATTCGAAGCTTCTAGAACATTAACGGACACGAACCCACTTCGTTACCACCATGTTTACCCACCCACTGCGCTTGTGAGATGCATGATGATGGATGGCATTGGTCTTCCAACTGTCATTGAGAAACCACCATCGAAGTCAGTCCGTGCCTGCACAGAGGTCCTGGGAAATAATTACCCGTACCGGTACGGTGGTTGTACGCACATGTTCATGCACATGCCTTCCACGTTCATGTCCGTCGTGGAAGGTGGGAATTCAATTGGGTCACTGACGGGAAAGTGTGGTGCTTCCGGAATGACGTCATCCAACCCAACGGACAAAAAAATGATCCAACGAGCCAAAACAAGCAGCCAAAGATCGACCATGGCACCATAGAACACTCGATTACTGCTGGGAGGTCGACTATCCTCGACCATGACAGTGGCTTCATCTCTCCTATTACGACTTTCTACTGGGGCCCTCCGTTGTATGAGCAGCACTCACCAGCAGGTGGTTCCTTTCATGGAACCACTCCATGTCCTCGGCGGAGGAAACATTGGAATGCTCTTTGCTGCGTCGATCAGGGCGGCGTTTCCGTCCTACCCAATCTGCCTGTTGCTGAGAGAACATCACAGATCCAGGATTGATCCGGAAGACAACAATGTGATTGTCTGCCTGATGGGTAGTGGTCGCAGCAGCAGACCTCGGTTGGTTCCTGTTCCTGCTCAAATTATTGGGGACAAAAGTTTATCGCAGCGTCCCATTCGGAACTTGCTGATAACGACCAAGGCATACAGCGCTGTGGATGCGGTCAAAGATGTGCACAATCGTCTGGATGTCGCATCGGGAGCATCCATAGTGGTGTTATGCAATGGGGCATTGGCTGTCAAGGACGAATTAGAATTGATGAAATCGGTGTCTCCTGATGATAAAATCAACTTGACCTTGGCAACCACCACTCATGGTGCCTACCAAGTAGAAGGCGTTTCAGACATGTTCCGATTCATTCATACTGGCAAGGGGGCGACATTTGTCGAAGATCATCCAACCTTATCGCAGCTCTTTGACCAATCCGGTCTCAACTCGAAATCCATCACCCAAGAAGAAATGACAATCATGCTCTGGCAAAAGCTCGCGGCCAATTGCGCCATCAATCCGCTTACCGCACTGTGCGACTGTGAAAATGGCATGCTACTGGACAAAGAACAACAACTAGCGCAAGCCACCAAGAAGCTACCCAATATCTACCAGATTATACAGGAAGTTGCCTTGGTGGCTCAATTCACACTGGGAAAGAATTCCTCCCAAGAGGCGGCTCCACTGGACTTTGAATCGTTAAGCGCATTCGTTCACAAGGTCATTAATGACACCGCACACAACAGATCATCCATGTTGCAAGATGTCACCAGAAGGCAAAAGACAGAAGTAGATTATCTCAACGGATTCGTCGTCGAAAAGGGTAGGGCTACCGGCGTTGATGCTACCGCCAATGAGGACTTGTGCCGTCGCATGAAGGCGCTATGGAGGTCCTATGCCCTTTGACGAAGCTACGCAAGCACACTTATATGACCAATGGATTTGACTATGGTATTATGATCCATGGATCTCTTTTCCTGGTGATGGGCTTCCTCCAACGACATAATGGACCCGTTCCAGACCGTGTTGAACCAAGAATCGTTTGGCATCGTCATGGCCTTGGGAAAATCGCCTTTGCAAGGCGTCCTCATCGGATGACAGGATCATTCTGCGAAATGTTTTGACATTCTGTCGGTTCAGATGTAGAGCAACCCGACTGCTGAGACGGTGGAGACTATCATCGTCGTGTACCAGCGGGCAGACTGATCGATTTGGCTGAAAATCCCCAGCAAGGGGAGTCACCACGACGGTGCTGGAATCAAACACAGGGAAGCCGTTGCAAAGGCCTCCGTCGATAAAGGGAGGGAAGGCGTCCTCCATTAAGCTTTCTAGTCTCACAGTTGTGATCTCTTGGCTGCCCGGTTTCCGTTGCTTGACATATCCTAGCTCTACCATTTCCCGAATCTTAGAGGACGCCCTTGACAGTGTCGGGGAAACATTGACGGTTCCTGTGGCCCCAGGAACATAAGATGACAACATGCACGCAGCCACAACGTCCTCAGCGTCTCTGTAATGATCGACGTAACAATAGGACTTGGGATTTTTTAGGAAAGGTTTTATGGACCTGTCTGTCAGACCAGTATAGATCTTTCCATTGATTCTCCTGCCGAGCAGTTCCATGTCCCCATTCACAGCATCGGAAATCTCTTTTAGCAACGGTTCTTCGACTTGATCAATTAGCGAGAATCCCGGCTTGAATGCATCCAAGAAACCTTCCTTTCTAGTCTTCTCGGCAACATCTATCGCAATGGACATTGCATCTTCCGGGGTGACACCGGCAGCGATAGAAGCACCAGCAATGGCACCACCACTGACACCCATGATCACATTTTTCCGCGATGATGACGCGGTGGCTTCGTCAATTCGAATATATCCATGGTCCAAGAAACACTTGGATGCACCCAAGTGATAACTGACCAAGAAACCAGCACCCGAAAAACCAAACGATGGAATGGTTGTAGCCGCTGCTTGTTGAGAAAGCTTGCGGCTGGCAGATCGGAACGCCATCTTCCAAATAAATGAAGTCAAGACGTCAACACAGCCACGAAGGAAGGGCGAGATGCGAAATGCGAAGTGCCCCGAGAATTATATCATGATTAGGGTTAGAGCACAATTTAAATTTTAAATCCGAAAAAGCATTTTTTGGTTGTCCGGCCCATCTCCCATTTCACGAAGAAGCTGGATGCCATGATGCCATCACACATCACACCCTTCATTTGTTTCTCCAAGGAGCACCATGATCAGCAGTATTGGCAATGACAAGGAAAACAGAGGCGTCAAGAGAGCCCACAATCTTTTAGACCAAGGAAATGACCTGAACCGGCAACTGGCTATTGTTCGCAAGGATATCTAGACGAAACTGCGTCGTAAGCTTCGCAGCAAGACATCCAAGATGAAGGTCGAAGTTCAGTTAGTATCCCTTGAAGCCTATGCTGCCTTGTGTGGTAAGAAGAGCGTCGATGAACTTCCCAAGAAGAAAGGGGCCTATTATCCAATGGAAGAAGTCATGCCCAAGGCTTTGCTGCCAAGCGTCTTTGACCCAAGTCTGCCAGAGAAAAAGCGATTTTGGTACAGCCATTGACCCAGAGTCCGGCTACTGCAAGACGACATATGGACATCCAAAGTCGGTCCGTACTGACAAGGCTTGTGAGTTGAGGTACAAACCTTCCAGGATGACACTCTCCGTTACTTGTTGGAATGATGAGATCTACAGCTGGGAGTCGTGCTGCAATGGATCGTCCCTACGAACAAGTTAATACTAGTCTAGTGAAACATCTATTGTAAAGCATTGGTGTTCCGAGCATCCCTCTCAATGATGTAGTAGCGACACAAAGTCGTTTGTTGGTTGGCGTAGTAGTACAATTAATACAAGTATCAGAGGCATCATCGTACATGTACCGTTATGGTACGGTAGCATCCACTCTCACTTCAAGCTACGAAGATGAGGGCAAAGAGCTAAGAAGCTATCATATTGGCAGCGTCATTGATCGCTGAAAAACATTCACAATTGCTAGTTCTGCTTTCCGAACTGAAGACAAAGACACAGCTTGTATTAGGTCAATATGCAGTGGTTTTTAAAACTGTTAGAGTCTACTCTCTGGTTGAAGCAAAAATTATCCTCACAGTGTGTCTCTTTTGTCAAGGAATTTCACCCTTATTGATCCCTCCTCTCTATGTGCCGTATCCCTTCCGCAGAGATCATCATACGGTCACAACCAATGGTTCTTCCAAAGGGTCTTGTGGAGTACCAATGTACGCTTCATCCAGCGTGTATCCGAAGATGAATTCCTTCTGTACTAGAGCCAGAGGCCAAGCAGCTGAGCACACACCAGAAGCTTCAACGGTCAAACAGAGACGGATGATGGCATAGATGAGTGGGTTGGACAAGAATGGAACTGGGAAGCAAGAGGCAATGATACGCCACACAAGAGAACCAATGACGGTTGTGATGAAAGCCCCCAACATTCCCGTGTTGAAAAAGCTCTGCACGTTTTCGCTGACTCCAAAGATGGTATGTTCGCTGCCATCGAGAGCGACATCACAGCTGGTGAGACGAGCGACAATGAACATGCACAGCGTGACACACATTTGTCGGCCAATCAAAAATGCTTGCAAGTTAGACCCCTTGAACGTGAGCTTGCAGCACTTTGCAGCCAAGGGATGCCCTTTGAGATCACTTGGAGGCAAGTTGACCACAGCAAAGAGAGCAATCTGCATACCCTCCATGATACCAACAAAGGTCAAAAGGACAAATAGAAGCACCATCGAGATGTAGTTTGGCACCCCAGCGTACATGGTTGTCTTGCCGTTCCAGACTGCTGCCAGGGTAACTGCAAAAGAGAGGCACAAGATGGATGTGGAGAAGGCAACACGGGTCCAGAAGAAGATGTTTTGGGCTGGAGTCCGAGGTGGCTCATTGGAGTCAATGGGAGTATTGGTGATTTTGCAGAACAGAATTTGGAACATGTAGACAGAGTGCAATATGCCTGACATGTCCAAAATCAGAGAGAGGAAGGTGGTTACAATCATGAACCACGTATTGATAAAGTCCAGCATACTATTGATGAAGATGTACAAGCGGACAGGTGGTAAGTAGGACAGTACAAAGAGACGGAAAATCATCGACGGACAACTTAGAGGTCAAACTCACCAGTTGGCAGCATTGATCTGTGCCGACTGTCCAATGATGATCGCAATCAAAGTGACGGCATTTCCGGACGTCAGTAAGATATCAGTCAAGGAGTCACTGAGTCCAGGGACGTGCGGATTTTCAATGGTAGCAGCCATTAAGTTCGACGAAAACACTACCAAGCAGACCAGGAACTGCCGTCCGACAATGAAACGTTCCATGTTATCTCCCTTGTGAGCCTCGTTTGTGCTGATGAGGGTTCTGGGATGGGTGTGAGCGTACAGAGACTTGTCCACTGGTTGGAGGCCCACCAAACAGGCTTGACCACCTTCCATCTTGGCCAACCAGACAATGAGGAACCAAAAGATGAGAAAGGCAACTGGGGTAGGCACACCGTGGGCTGTGGCAACCGTCTGCTTGTTGAAGATTGCCATCATAACGGATCCAATGGAGAGCAACAAGATTCCCATTGAATAGAGGCACTTGAATGCCTCTAGAAACTTGCTAGTACAGGATGCCAAGAGTTTTCCTGCTTGGGAAGGTCTCTTGAGCTTTTGTCTCTGATGTTGATCGATTTCTTCGCCAGGATAATGGGCGAGATGACCATGTTCGTCGGCTACGGGAAGAACGGTTACATCATGGAGATGCCTTACAGCGACTAGAGCTTGATTGGCAGCATCAGAGACAGATCTGGGAGTTAAGACTCCTGCCATGTGATCATCAATGAATGCAGTTCCCGTAGGGCTGACAGAAGGACTGTTTTCATCTTCCGACGAATCTCTGGTGCTGTTCGTTTCGATACTTCCATACTTGACGGTATCCGAAAGAGAAAGATATTCAGAAGGGTCCATTCTGATAAAGCTAGTTTCGTAAACAAGAAGATAGTGGACGAAGCAGGTCGGCACTCAAAGGATTGACCAGAAAGAAATGACGCTGACCAGAAGGAAAGGAAACAGAGAACAGAGGCTGCCCGGTTCTATCATCGAATGAGACCTGTGTGAGCAAAGACGGTTTTGTTTTGAAGTTCGTTGCTTTCAAAAATATCCAAGAATGACATTTAGACCCAGTAGGGTCCCACGTACGGTAGACCGAGCATCAGCCCTGCAGGCCTGCTTTTCTCGAGCTTTGCTTTGGAACAACTTTGAAACCAGTGTCACAAAATCAGACAAAAGCTGATAGTAGACAATTGACCATGGTGACGACCAGCCGATATGACCGTCTTCTTCAAATCTCTCCCAAGCTCGCCTTTCTCTTGGTGAGCCTTTCCCTGGGCCAACTAGGTGAGCACATGTGATGGGGATGCGCTTCGCACAAGCTGGGGAGGACTCAGTACATCGTAACTGATTTTGCCTGGTAATTTCTTCTGGTATAGGTGATGGCTTGAACATCTTCCAAGGCATTTATCTGGTAGGCATTGGCTGGGAGGAAGGGAGTGTTGGATTGGCCCTCAGTCTCATGGGCTTGACCTCCCTGATCGTCCAGCCATGGGCAGGAGACTGGGTGGACAAGACGACGGTCGATCGTCGGGCCTTTCTGTTAACCGCCAGTATTTTCACGGCTTTATCAGCGTCCTCCATCCTCTTGATCACACCCACCAGTGACCACATGATCATCTACGCTACCAAAGTTGTCGAAGGCATTACTTCATCCTTTTTGCAGCCCTGTCTTGCCGCACTGACATTGGCTTGCTTTGGACCCAATCATTTCGATCAAGTCATGGCGTCCAACATTTTGTGGGGACATATCGGATCGGTGGCCTCTGCTGTCTTGGCAGGCATTGTTTCCTTCGTCATGTATCCTAATATCAAGCTCTGCTTTCTTGTCATTGGAGCTTCCGCCTTGATTGCTTGTTTCTTTGTCCAATACCTTCCTCAAGGTGATCCTCGCATGGGACGTGGATTTGCCGGCAAGGCTACAACCAGTCTTGAAAATGAAGCCGACGAACAAAGTCAGATTCTAGTCAAGCGGGTTGGGTCCAACGAATCCGATGAAACAACAACCAGTACCGAAGCAGACAGCGACACTAATGATGACATTCCCGAAGCTGCTTCCTACTGGGATGTCTTGGCCGATCGACGAAGTCTCATTCTTTGCTTCACGGGTTTCTTCTTTCAGTAAGCCAACTTTTCCTTTTTTGCCGTTCATCCTCTGTTCATAGGTGGACGTATTCATAAACTCACTTACAACTCTCCTTCTCTTCTATTGATTTAGTTCTGCAAACGCCAATGTCCTGCTGGTCCTTGGTGAAATGATGGGCAAAGGAGGAGACGGTGGCAGTTCGCGTCATGCCATTCCCCTCACAGCCGGAAACATTGTCACAGCACAAGTCACCATGGCCATAGCCACCTATGTTGGTGATCGACTCACCAAGTCAGGAATGGGTCGCAAGCCGCTGTTCCTCGCAGGAATAGCTTCTCTACCCTTGCGATGTGCTCTGATTATCTTGTTCAAAGATGCGGGCGCAACGGCTCTCATGTCAACTCAGATCCTAGATGGCGTTGCGGGAGGCTTGATGGGTCTGGTGCAGCCCTACTTGATCGCCGACATTACCTTTGGAACGGGCCGTTTCAACGTATTGAATGGGTTGATTGCATCGTTCTTTGGAATGGGAGCCACGCTCTCCAACTATGTCGGACAGATGGTCGTCCAAAAGTTTGATCATGTGACCAGTTTGACGGCTTCCCTCTTTATCTCGTTGATTCCAGTTGTCCTCTTCATGTTCATGCCAGAGACGATGGGCATGAGAACCAGCAACCCCTTGTCGCCTCGCCGCTCCAGTCAGCCTGACCGCAGTTTGTATGGTTCCTTTGAATGAGGGCAGCAATTCTGTTGAGAACAACCAGATATGACTTCGATATGACCGCAGCGCCATCCTGGCCACAGCTTGTGTGGTTCATTCCACTGGGAGAGAGCAGCAGCGTTTCCGAAGTCAGTCCAGACAATGTAGTTCGCTTCCACTATGCATAAGTGGAAGCTTGGTGAAACTTTACCTAACGGATACCAATGTATATAGTTGCTGATTTTTAAAGGTCTAGTTAGGCAAAGGTATCACTTCTTTATCATCTGTCTATTGTAGTTTAGTTTACATGTATCGTATGTAGTCATGAAAGTTTGTCTCTGCATTGAGGGTCTCCCATGTACCAACTATAGACCGGAACCTGGTAGGTCGGGTCTAACATGACAGAATGGCAACTTTATGTATGTGCCGTATGACACGTTGTTGTTGGCACGTCCTGCCGATGCATCCGTACGGTTTTTCTCCTCATGCTTCTTACCCATGCTGAACAAACTCCTCCAGAGATAGCTTCAAGCAGGTTGCAATGGCAGGATCTGTGTCTTCGTGTGTTGCATTTAAAAACCGCGCCACCACCTGAGGAGACCTATCCTCCTTGACGACCGCATCGAGAAACTTCCGGGCATATTGTGGCGGACAGACTTCGTCACGCTGACCTTGACAAATCCACATTGGCATGGTTAGCTGTTGAATCTTGGTCTCATCCAGCAAATCGGACGTGGGAAATTCATAACTTCCATGCAGCCACAAGCGGGTTTCAAAGAACGCAACACTTAGGGATTCTCTGTAGTACTTTTCATGAATGTGGTAAGGATCCAATATCCGTTTGGGATCCAGTTCCATCAAGTTGTTTTCAAAGACAAACCAATGCCAAGCAGCCATTTTGTCACCACTTGTGATCATTTCGGCGTAAAGACGGAGGATTCGCTCGGCGTCGTTGGGGTCGAGGGGTTCTTTGTCACTGCCGTGTTGATTGTCGTTTGCGTAATCAGCCGCATACTGGTAGAGGATATTGAATTCATGCAGTCGCTTGGGATTGTCCACATAGGTTTCTTTGGCATAAACCACTCCAACCTCTTCCGCAGTGTCCAAGTAAATGCCCCGCAACACCAATCCCAAGCAACTGTTTGGATACAATTCACCGTAGTATATGGCCAAGGTGGAACCAAAACTTCCACCCCAGACTAGCCACTGGTCAATGCCCAAAAACTTGCGTACGACTTCAAAGTCAGCCACCATTTTGGTAATGCTAATGTCTTCGTAATACTTCATGTTTTGCCACCCGTCACGAATGCTGGGTTGGGAGTTACCCGTGCCGCGTTGATCAACTTCAACGACCATGAATTGGAATGGATCTTCATCGGCAGGATCACTTTTGCTCCCAAAGAATCGTTGATTGGAATTGCCAAAATAGTCTGCAATGGCATTGCCAGGTCCTCCATGAACAAACAAGAGGGGAATGCCAGTTCCATCGACCCGACCCCAGACACGAAACCATAGTTGCAGAGGTACATTTTCATCCTGGGAAGCAGTGCCATCGTCCTTATCCGGTGGCAAATCCAACCGATATTCCTTGGCGTCTTCGACAAAGACAACTCCATGAGGATGTTGTTTTAGATGAGGACTGATGCCATTATAGCCCCAAACAGCCAAGCCGACTATAAGTAACAGACCTAGCATCCACCATTCCTTGCGATATGGTAGAAGCTGCGGTCTCATCACCCACTTGCCGCAGAGGTTGAAGGACTGCTTTTGTTCTGAATCTACGCCCTCGTCCATCATGGAAAGATGATCGTGATGTTGCCAGGCACTCGTCCTGCTTTTGGATGGCACCAACGGGGATGCCTCGGACTTTGCTGCAGGTCCTTCTTCGAGTGTCGCGGCATCATTGCCATCACTGCTGGTGGCCTTGGCGTGGGAATGAACGGGATGCCGATGATGGGGAGTCGTCATCTTGTCTTTGGATTCTGGTGTCTACCCACGAATTGGTTCGCTTGGGAGTTGTTGTGGGTTGCTCTACTGGTATCCATGAATGTGGCTTTTCCTGTCATCTCCCTCTTGCTCTTGGGTCAATACCATTTTGAAATTGCACTCAAGATCTTGTGGCAATTGCACTCATCAGGGTGAATGGTGGGAGTCTCAAGGTGACAACACTCTCCTTAGATCAGGAAGCGAACTTCCGTGTGTGAAGGGCCGACGTCTCCCTTTTCCGAGGACGTCATACGATACGGTACCAGTAGTATCCATGTCTCAAAGCCAATCAAAGATTTGTGCACAACCAGCTTCGCTAGCTTCTATCAGGACAAAAGCACGCGGCGGCACGGTGCTAGTACAGTCGTACCGTACAGAGGACGATGCACTAACTTTAGCTAAGCAGATCTGCTTGTTTCCATCTAGACTATTGCAACGAAGCCACAAGTCTTTGTCCTGTGCTCCTCTCAGCCCTCCTCCCTTACCACCCTTTCCTTCTTCGGTTGTGGTGTTGGTCAGCTCACTCGGATGTTTGGCTCGTGCTCGTGCTCGTTGCATCCTGCCCCCTGCTGTGGAACCCTCCTCACCATAGTCCACTCTAACCCTGTAGTAACTTCCCCAAATAAACGAATCCGCCATCAGATCAGTCAAAGCTGCGCTGCAAACTGAGCCGCACCAGATCAAAATACGCATGTAGCCCAAGGAGACCCCGAGGCAGTGGCCCCCTCTATACCAACATTTGTCGTGCGGGCGGTCGGGCCACGGCCAAGCGAATTCCGACGGCCAATCAATTCTGGGTAATATACTACGCGATATTTGACTGTTGCAAGTTGTAGAACGACGAATGGTTTTGTGCCCAGACAACCATGAGGCGAAGACGAGCAGAATCAGACACTGTTTTTGCATCGCAATATGTTTTGGTGGTCGTTGATGGAGCTGGACGAGCCGATAACATGGGATCGTCATCAGACTGTCAATGGGCATTCCTGGTCAATACCACACTCATAGCAGTAGCAGTTTTTGCATGGACCCCTGCTTTAAAAACCCTGCAGGGTCCGGAAACGGGCTTCAAGGGAGAACTGTTATTTAAAGGATGCTGCGTGAAACTAGTTATCTGCGTGAAACTAGCAGTTAGTTTCACGCACGTAAAACTAGTACTAGTTTCACGCAGACCTGCGTGAAACTATGTTCAGTCGTGCGTGAAACTAATTGATCTGTCCGTATTATTCACGAGTAAAATCTTGCGTGAAACTAACCGGTTCGCTGCATGAAATTAGTACTATTTCACGCAGCTCTGCGTGAAACTATGCGTAAAACGGTTAGTTTCACGCAGCCTTGTGTGAAACAAGGGGTTAGTTTCACGCAGATAGTTTCACGCAGACCTGCGTGAAACTAACGGCTAGTTTCACGCAGGCTGATTGATTTAAGTCCCATTTCCGAACCCTGCAGCGTCCCTGCTCAGAGACCACTCTGAACCCGCTTGCATCATCGAAGGGATGATTGGTTCTCCCCATGTCAGTTTCAAAACACAACTTTGTCACTTTTGGTAGAGGCTGATTTCTTTCATCAGCAGGAGATGCAGCTGCATCCACAGAGTGAAGTGCCTTGACAAACCTCTGTTTTGGTTATCTTTGGATAGCAACCATGTGGTCCATGGCATTCCAATTCGTAACCACGCATAAGATCACACAACTGGTCAGGGATCTCTCCTGTCAAAGATGTATTGGTGACCACCAAGGTGGTCAAGTTAGTCAAGGCAAGAAGCTCAGTGGGGAGCGTTCCAGATAAACCAGTGTTTTGCAACTGTAGAGTTTCTAGGCCTGAAATCAGACCAATCTCAGTTGCAAGAGTTCCAGTGAAACGATTGTTGTTCATGATGAGTCTATTCAGTCTAGTCAGATTGGAAAAGAAACTTGTTGCAAGTTTTCCTTCTAACTGGTTGGAGCTCATGTCTAGGATATACAAGTCTGCAGGCATCAAGTGAGGTGAGACTGTGTGTGTGTAGTTTGCTGCAAGTGCAACAAGCTTGGACTTACTCGTCAACAATGAAACTTCTGATGGTAAATACCCTGAGAGTGCATTCTCTGCTAGACTCAGTAGAGACTTTAGGAAAGCGCCAACCAGTGGGGGCATGGTGGTAAGATAGTTTTGCAAACGAGGTTTTAGCCCCAATGAAGCCCTTGTTCACAGACACATACCAGTCTTGATAGTTGTCCAAGCTGACTGGGAATTTTACCGGTGAGTCTCCAATGGACCAAGTTCAACATGGTAAGGTCAGAAAGCCTTCCAATTTCAGCTGTGGAGGAGTCAGCAAAAGGTCAGCATAAAACCAAATCGAAGTGGATATGTGAAAGACAACTTACTCATTATTGTGCCATTAACATCATGAGGTTTGTCCATTAGCACCAGTGATTCAAGCTGGTGCATTCTTTCAATGACATTTGGTAAGATATTCCCTGAGTCCATAAAAGGACAATCAAATAAATTGATTGTTGTTAATTGTTTTTGCTTGTACAGTTCTGAAGGGAGAGTACCTATTTGTGTTGAAGTGAGGGATAGTTTTTCAACTATCAGATGGGGGGTTCTTTTGATTAAGATCAAACTCACCTGTCAGGCTCATGAACCCTACTTCCAAGTGTGAAAGGCTCCCAAACTGTCCCAGCTGAGTGGGCACAGTTCCCTCTATCCCCTGCCCCCCAAGATAAAGATCACCAAGAACTGGAAGGAGACCCAGCTCTGTGGGCAACTTTCCTGACAGCCCTGTGGCCTGAAGTCCTAAACTTTCCAGCCTTGTCAACATTCCAATCTCACTGGGGAGTGTTCCTTTGAGTTCAACATTGAACGATACATACAATTCCTTCAAGCTGTTGTGCAGCAGTGATACCTCTTTTGGGATGGAACCAACCACATTGTTGCCCATTAGTGCTATGGCTTTGATCTGGCCCATTTCATCACAATGCAGCTGTGGTGAGTCTTCAAGATATGCCTGACTCTGCTGCCAATTGCATTCATGGGTCTCCCAATCCAACCAACCACGATGTTTCACCCAATAGTCACCTCTGGTGGCATAGTAGATTGTAGCCAAGGCAAATCGCTGGATCAGCCTTTCGTTGGAACAAGTCTCAAGACTAGTAGAATTGCCGAGCAGCCAAGCATATGCCTTGGCCTGTGGTGACTTTGCATCATACAACGCCTCCACAGTATAATCAGGCAGTTGTAGCCTCGATAGAATCCCATCCATTAGAGTGGTTGGTGCTTGTGTAGCTCCTGGGATCACTGGAATACGGATGACTCCTTGTTGTTGATGAGTGATTTCTGTACCGGTGGCACCATTTCCATTGTTGTTGACCAGGACGAAAGTCACAATAATCCCTACAACGATAACAATCCCAACCAATGCTTCCCCTGTTAGTGACAAGATGAGCTTCTTTTTCCACAATCTCTTGGCTCTTTGTGATATTGGTTCTGCAGTGGGGAGTTCTTCTTGTTCTAACTCATTGATAGGCTCAGCATTGACAAGGTCCACAACAGCAGCGTCATTCGTTGAAATACTGGAAGCACTAGCAGAGTGCACCGTTTCTGCATCGTTAGTCCTTGACGAGGATGCTGCTGTTGGATTGCGAGAAAACGGGAAAGACCCCGTCACAGGAAACGCCCCGGGCTCTGGCTGGATATTGCTACTGGTTGTCAGTGGCAATGGCGCAATGCTATCACGGAGGGTCGAGAAGAACGTGTCGGGGGGATTGGCGGTAGTTCCCTGTTTCTGGCTTTCCACAATCTCTTCAGGCTGCTGCCTTTCCATCTCGTCCAGAGTATGGACGATTTCGTTCTGGATAACTTGATTACTTTGAGGAGGAATGCTCTCTGGTTTGACTATTGTGGTGTCCATGGTTGTCGTTTGGTGGATTGAAGCGCTCAATCAAAACGTCGAATCAAAACGTCGGTTTGCTGCCAACACAGGGCATCTGCCAATTGTTTGGGAAGCTTGTTGCCTAATAATGAACCGATTGAAGGCTGTTGAAGAGGGCTTTCTTTCTCATCATGGTTGAGGCAATATGAGCTCCCAGAACCGAACCATCCATCACAAGTGAAAAACTTTCACCAACCATCATCAGCATCATCTACTCTTTTACGAACGGGAATGATCCATCGAATCGATCCGCAACGATCTTGCTGGTGCGAGGAACATGCTGAGTTGTTGAGATGTTCCGAATTCAATTCCACGCATTAGAGTGAGAGTTTTGGCTTCCAATGACGGAAGAGGATGGAGGGGTGGATGTCACTGAAACAGCACGACTGTTGACAGAGATCCTGTGAGGTCAGGGCCAAAGCCGACAACCAAAGCTGCTTTGTAGCAAGGATTCGTCGTCGTCTCCTGCTTTCCTGCTTCCTCTCATTCTCTTGGATATTCTAGTCTGATCTGCTTATTGCAGGAAGAGACAATCTTTTCGGCGGTCTTCTGATCAAGCAACGTTACATCTGTCTTCCCTTCATCCACTACGGTATTCTTCCTTTCCAATATTATTTTTACAACCATGGCTTCCAAAACGTATGACATCGTTCTGTTTGGAATGACGGGCTTTACGGGAAAGCTGGCGGTGGAACATTTGCTCAAGAAGCAGCACCCAGTCAAGTGGGCAGCCTGTGCAAGGAGTGAAGGCAAAGCCAAAGCCATCTTGAAGGAAATTGCGGATTCCGTCTCCCAGCCACCACCGCCCCTTGTCATTGCCGATTTGATTTGCAATTCCGAGCAAGACGAGACCAAACTACGAGATATTATCAAATCTACCCGAGTCGTCTTGACGGCAGCTGGGCCCTTTGAAAAGTATGCCATGACATTGCACAAAATGTGCGCCGAAGAAGGGTAAGTACCAATGTAGGAATGTAGGAATGTGGTGATGATCTTATTGTGAGAACACATCTTGCTTGCTTGGGCATGGCATAGCATTGGTGCTAATGTAACGTTGCATCCTTGAATTTTCCATTTTCAAAAAAGAGTGCATTATGCGGATATTACGGGCGAGACGTCCTATGTTCGCCAGATTATTGAGAAACACGATGATATTGCTCGAAAGAACAATGCAGCACTTGTCAGCCATTGTGGAAATGATTGTATTCCACACGATTTGACTGTCTTTGAAATGAATGAATATGCCAAAAGCAAGGGATGCACCTTGGTGGAAGTGACAACCTTGGATGAAATCGCAAGCTCTGCATCCTTTTCTGGAGGGACCCTCACCACTGCCATGTATCAACTGAGCAAACCCAAGAACACAAAGTCATCTCTGGACTACGACCCACTCGTCAAGACTGCGGAAGGAAAGAAGTCAGACTTTAAAACAATCATCACTCACAAGACAAAGCAGTACCACAAGGAGTTTGGCCGCAAGGCCGGTCCCTGGCTCATGGCTCCGGTCATGTCCAACTGTGTCCGACGAAGCAATGCCCTTCTGGGCTACTGCCCCGAGCTCAAATTTGGAGATGCCATGTTGGATGATCCCAGTTGGGCAAACTATGTATCGCTAACTCTTTACGGTGGAATGCTCGGGGCGGCATTGTACATACCCCCTCTTCGAAGTCTCATTCCCCAACCAGGACAAGGGCCTGACCGCGAGGCGATGGACTCGGGCTGGTTGAAACTTTGGGGCCAAGGATTCATGGTGGACAACAATGACAAAGAGAAACGCACTCCAGTCTACAGTCTCATGCACTTCAAGAAAGGTGAGAACCATATGAGCTCCTCCATATGTGATCTTTGCCAACTTGGGCGGGACACTGCCCTGTTTCTAACAAAGCTCCGTTTTTGTACTTTCGTTCCTTCCAGATACCGGTTATCTCATGACGGCCGAGATGTTGGTTGAAACTGGGTGTTTGTTGGTGGAAATGGACAAGGCAGGTACTTTGAAGGGTGGAGTTTTGACACCGGCTGTGGCTTTTGGAAGTGAGCTCACCAAGCGCCTCACAAAAGAACTGGAAGTTACATTTGATCTCAAAGATGCTCCCATGTACGATAGCAATTAAATACGTTACAGCGGACCAATGTGCTATTTTATGAACTCATCGAATACTAGCAACCTAGATCATCGATGATCTAGGTTGCTAGTAGCGTTTTGAAATGGATGCTAAAGTGCATTACCTGGGAGTCCTCGTTTGGCATTTCGTACCTCTTGCAAAGCCGCGTCAAAGAGAAACAAGAGACCTTTGCTCGAGTGAAACGTTTGATTGTGACAGGTTGAGCCTCCGTAGGTCAACTCCAAGAATGACCAATACCCCGCTACGGCTACATACTTGAATTCTGCTTCCAATATGGTTCAGCATCCATTGGCTGCAGCAACAGGGAAATGACAAGCATATGATGAACCTGATGCAGGACGCATACGGAAACCGATACTGGAAGGGAAGTTCCCATCTCAAAAGGGCAGCAAGAAAGAAAGCTTAGCGGTCAACGTCATCCTGAAGCATGGCCGCCTTCGGTCCACCAAGAGTGCAACGGTTGCTGAAGAGGCCTCAAAAGGAAGATTGATTAATTGCTGATTTTATCTCTTTTGCTGGTCAGAAGGCTGGCAAGCGCAGACAGCTGCTTGTTTTATGAATTGTCGTGTCGGGAAGTTGTCTTGTTCCGTGAATCATTCCATTTTGGCCGCCTTGGCACTCAAGTGATTGGCCAGCATATCAATGGCCACATCCAATGATTGCGTAGTAGAAAAGACAATGATATCCGCATGATGTTTGCTAGGTTCTACCCATTGTTCATGCATTGGCCTTACTGTTTGTTGGTATTGTTCCATGACCGATTCCATGGATCTTCCTCTTTCCGTGGTATCTCTGTTCAGTCTCCGAATAAATCGAATATCTGCATCCACATCCACGAAAACTTTGATATCCATTTGGTCCATGAGTTGTCGATTGGTCAAAACCAGGATGCCCTCCAAAATGATGACTTTGATTCTTTTTTGACTGTCACCAGCAGATTGTTCCACTCTATCAACCTTGTCGGGTATTCTAGCATGTGTGGCAAAGTCGTAGTGAGGAATATCCACCGATTTGCCTTCTTTCAGATCTTGCAAATGTTGTATCAGTAACTCCGTCTCTAAAGAATCGGGGTGGTCGAAATTGGTTTTTGCGCGTTCTTCCACGGGTTTGTCTGATTGATCACGATAATAACTATCATAACTCAGCATCAGCACGTTGGTGTTACTGGAACCTCCCAATTTGTTGTAAACGCCCCTTGCTAGCGTAGTCTGCCGTACGGTACCGGTATGGTTGAAAGCGAAGCGAAGAGGATGTCAGACCAGAACAATCAAGGCTCACGTCAGTGAATGCACGTTGCAAGTTGTGTGGGTACCCCACACCTACCTTTCCTGACCCCGTGCCGCCGCCAATTCCAAGGATAAAGCAACTTTGCGCCATGCTATTGGTGAGTTTATTGCGATGAAAGACTGGTGGAGGGGAGACTGTACCTATGACAGCCAGCAAGTAGCAGAATGGTTGTCTTGTGTGATGTTCTGCAGGACCGTTCGACGGTTTTCACTCAGGCTTTAAAAACGGACACGACTGACTCAGAAGTGTAAGGGATTGTTTAAGGGATTGTTTGTTAAGGGATTGTTTAAGGGATTGTTGCAGATTTAAGGGATTGTTGGTTAAGGGATTGTTTGATAAGGGATTGTTTTAGGGATAGTTGAAGCAATAAGGGATAGTTGTATGGTGTTTCCATTTGGCGTTAAGGGATTGTGTTAAGGGATAGATCCAATATTTAAGGGATTGTTGTTAAGGATTGTTTTTAAGGGATTGTTTAAGGGATTGTTGATGGTAAGGGATGTTAAGGGATTGTTTAACAACGGTTATCAGTCGTGGCAATTTCTAGTTTTTTAAATCCTGATTGAAAACCGTCTGACGGTCCAGGTGGATCCGATATCCGATATTCGCTTCTCTTCTATGGTCGTGCTCAACGACTGACGTCATTGACGACTGGCACGAAAATCCACTCCCGCGATGGGCCACTGGGACCCACCTCACTCCCGACCCCCCCCCCCGAAAAGCTCGAGCGAGAAACTTGCCTTGGAGTGCGCCGAGGTAACAGCGATGGCTCGTCGATGTCACACAACGCATCGACTGAGAAGGCAATCGATCGTGGACCTCCCTCCATGAGCAAGGCGACATGGAAGCAGCTACACCGAACAGGGAAAACCTAAGTACCATCGTGATTAAGCGATCGTCCTAATCACTGAATTCCCACCACTATCTAAATGGTGTGCAAAATAGTCAGTATTGAGCAAGATGCAAGTAATCCAAAACGTACGATCCCACGAAAACAAACGATTTCAATTGCCGTGGGTTCCTTGGCATCAGGAGTGGATGCAGAGACCAAAACTGACCACAAAAAGGAGGATCTTCCAAAGGCAAAGCAAGCGACCTCACAAAGCTAGTTGTTAGGGCAACGAAATCGGATCTATCATGGCACCTCAGAAGATTTTGGTCAATGCCGAGCCTCAGGACGGCAACAGCAGCAAAGTCGACTTCCCTCGCGCTGTTGTTCTCATCATGGGATGGTGGGGCGCCGAATTGCGTCATGTCGAAAAATATGCCGAGCTCTACCGCAAGCGAGATTGTGCGACCGTATCGGTTGTGGCAGATACCCTTGAGGTCATGATGCATCTGGGATACCCGAGCTTGGACGGTTGCGTTCGCGACGCCGTGTCGGAAGTGGCGAAAATTTTGCGAGACAATGAAAAGGACGGAAAGAAGATTCCCGTCATTCTCCATTCGTTTAGCAACGCTGGATCGTTCCTCGTAGAACGAATGGAGTGTCTGATTCAACTGGCTAGAGAGGACCTCAAGATGCGCGGCAGTGAGGACTTGTGCCTCGTCGGAGCACGATTGGATGGACAGATCTTCGATTCTTGCCCCGCTTATCCAGACATCAAGTTGGGCTTCACGAGCACCAACGGAGTGGTGTTTGGACAATCGCTGATCATCAAGATAATCGTGGGTATCCTCTTTTTCTTGGCCGGAGCCGTGTCCGTGGTCTTCAACTGGATCTTGGGACTACCCGACGTGCGCTGGACGTTCTGGAACAACATGAGAGAGGGACGGGTCTGTCTTCGACAAGCCTACATTTACAGCACTGCCGATAGCATCACCAACGTGTATCGATTGGAAGAGCTCATTGAGAACCGAAAGAAGTTCTCCAATGTGACTGTGCAGAAATTCGACGACTCGAAGCATGTCACACACATGATGAAGCACCCTCAGACCTACGAAAAGTTGGTCGACGACTTTGTTCGTGACACGAGACTTGCCTAACAAAATGATATCATTCGCACCATTAGAGAACAACTTTCGCGCTGTTGGGGCCTCGGGACTTGAAGGATCATTTGTTGCAGAAGACGAGCGCACCTTCTGTAATGATTACTGCGGCACTAACGAAAAGAAAGGCAATGGCCACTGACCCCTATTTTAGAAACAAATGCATACCGATACATAATCACCATGTTTTCAATACAGTACAGTACGTTTACGCAGGATGGATGGGAAGAGTCAGCAAACACTTCAGGTCACGTAGTTCTCATGTCGAGAAGGACATTTATAAGACCTAAAACAGCACGTGGTCGGCATTCACACACCAAGCAGAAAATGAAAAAGGATGTAGTGGCTATCAGTCTCGCCATTATTGTTGCTTTTTGTTTGTTTGTGTTTGCTTCTTAGAAACCAAAGGCCCCCATTCCTTCTCTCTGCTCTTTTAGGAAAGCTTCGTAAAACTGGAAAATGATGGTGACCGAAAGCAAAATACCAGTTCCAGTACCAATGGCTCCCATAAAGTCGGCAATGACGGACAAAGCACCAATACACATTCCACCAAAGGCAGCAGCGGTAGGGATGTAACGGTTCAAGACATGGATCAAAGCCGTGTCACGATGTCCCTTCATGACCATTTGGTTATCACGCAGCTGCTTGGCAACATCACGGGCCGAAGCTCCAGAGACCTCAATCCATGTCTTACTGAAGAGTGCACAGGCAGTCAAGATAAAGATCAAGTAGAAGACAGCATGGAACGGATCGTAGATGATTTCGGCAAAACTGGAAGGAGGGGAAATGTAGTAGGCAATGCCTCCAACAGGCATCTTGTTACCAGGCTGTCCCTCCCGATCTTGCCAGGTTCCCAACAAGCGTACCAAGACATTAGTAGGAGCGCGGTTGTAAAGAAGCTGTGAGACAAAGTACAAGTTGGAGACCAAAGCCGTCTGCAAAATGATGGGCATGTTGGACGTGTAAAAGAGCTTGATGGGATAGTTTCCTTGTTGTCCACGGTACTTTTGGTACTTGACGGGGAGATCGACACGCCATCCTTGGAAGTAAATGACAATGACAAATATCAGGACGGTGGCCATCAAGTTTGTCAAGTTGGGTAGATTCTGACGATAGAGAGCTTCTTTCAAGGCACGAACTTTGTCGGTTCGGGTAATCATGAGATGGAAAAGAGCAATGATGGCTCCCTCAAACTCGGTTCCACGACCAGTGTTGATGGTAGTTGGGCTGAATGCCTTCCAGACAATGGTTTCACAAATGTTGGTGGCAATGAACAAAGAAATTCCCGAACCTAGTCCGTATCCCTTTTGCAACAATTCATCCAAAGTCAAGACAATCAATCCAGCACAGAAGAGCTGAGCAATGATCAGAATGGCATTACCAGGTCCAATCGATCCCAAATCTCCGTACATGCCACTGACAACGTAGGCAATGGCTTCGCCAGTAGTGATAAGAATACCGAATAGTTTTTGAGCACCCGAAAAGAGAGCTCGATCTTCTTTGACATTGTAGTCCACTTCAATGATACGGGAACCAGCAAGCAGCTGCATAACCAATCCAGAGGTGACAATGGGACTGATACCCAATTCCATCAGAGTTCCTCGATTGGAAGCCAGGATCACACGCATCCAGTAGAAGGGATCAGACGACTTGGCACTTTGCACACCATAGATGGGGATTTGACAGCAGACAAGGAAAATAAAGAGTGTAATGGTGGTCCAAAGCAGCTTTTCACGAAAGGGGATCTGCATTGGAAAAAGCAACGGACGTGAGAAACGAGAAAGAATATATGGGAAAAAGATACCCAAGCTTCATAATCTCTGCAGCAAAAGGAAATCCCCTGACTTAGCATTGGACTCCGAGATAAGGTATGACATACGAGAGGTCCAGCCATTATCTCTCCCACGTAGTCATCCCATAAGACCAACCAGCCAATATGGGGATCTTTGGTCCTAATACATCGTTGGAAGCTGATTGTTTCTTCAGCATTCTTTAACCTACCTTGCGGTCTGGACTGGCGACCTCAGGGAGGACGCACATGACGGGTCGAATCAAGTGAAGGAACCTCATGGTTGAAAATTACTAGAGCAAGTGAGAAAAACAAACTCCAACAATGAGTTCAGCTTGGTGGTTGTTGGATCTGACCAGTGAGTGACGGGAACAGCGACCAACAAAAAGCCAACCATGACCTTGGACAAGGCATTGCTTGCTGGCCGTCCAAACAACCGGTGCTTCCAAGCGTTGATTTGAGATAACGGGAGATGGACAGACTAGTCTTGAGCGTGACCAGTCCCTTGACCACGAGGGGCATCAAAATTGGTTTGTCAAGGCGCCCTCTAACAGCGACTGTCACTCTCAAGCCGCGCTCTTTTTGGTAACCATAGACTCACCTTCTGTGCACAGCTGGGGGACAATGGCTTGAACTTGCATTAGCTCTTTCACTCTTTGTTCTGGTAAGCATTGAGACCATCTTACCAGTATTATTGGTACATGGAGGTAGATCACTCTTTCTTCGTGCTGCCTTTTTGAACTTCCTCTGGGTACAAGAGACTTCTTCCTCCTTCAATGACCTGTTGTCTCCAAGACCTTTCTACTGAGTACAGGTTTTATCCGATTGCGTCATGAGGTTTTGATAATACTGGTTGATGCAGTGGCATTGTGAGTGTATAAACTTGTCAAAGTTAGGCAGCTGGCTAGGCTAAGAAAGGAGAATTGCTTCTCTGTAAGGAGGTACCGTACAACTTGCCTGCTTGTTGTAGTAGAGAACTCTTCACCAATACGGTACAGCCACTGTAGAGGCATCATCGAGTCTAATGGTAGCAAGCCAAAACCACTAATGCTAGCTACTAGTATTTAAAATGAAAATCAAAGATGAAGCAAAGCAGTTTTGGATATTAGATTTTCAATTGGGCAAGTTGAGATGGATGATTCATTCGATTCTGTTTGCTCATCGCAGAACTTTACCATCATGGCTGAATACTGAAATTGGAAAACTCTTTACTGTAGCTACATGTAATCGAAGCAAGCCCTGACCCAAGGTAAGCCTGGACTAATCATTGTGACAACTCATGTTCAATCCTGTCTATGCAATCGGCACTGAGATGCAGGAGCTGATGCAGGTCACCCTGCCAAAAGCCCCTGGTCCTTTTGGGTGGCAAGTAAGTTTTGAGGCTGACTGAAGAAGCATTTCGAAGCTCCTTCAAACACGACTAGACACGGCGTTCAAAGCAAGGTCAAGAAGAACAAAAACAACACCAAGCAAAACAACCGAAGCCACCACGTGGTTGCTGTATTTTGGAAGGTCGGTGACCATGATGCGCTATTCCAGAGGTGGTCGAGGGCGCGGAGGCAGGGGCCGGTTTGGGAGAGGAGGAGAAGGGCGCAATAATACGGCAAGAGGTTCCATGGCGTGGGTGAGGCCTCCAAGCGACGAAAGCAGTGGAGTTTCCAACGGTCCTGTGTTACGAGGGCCGGGCCATTTTCGTGGGAGAGGACGAGGTCGTTCGTCATCATCATCATTCCATTCTATGACAACTAATACCAAAAAGTCGTGGCGACGAGACGCTTCAGCGACATCGCAAGTTGTGGAAGGGTCAACAGTACATGTAGGACAGGAGAACTCAAGTTTTGATGCTGAAGAAAAACCGAAAATCGTGGTTGCCAGGGATGGGAGCAGCAAAAAGGAGGAAGAAGAGCCACAAGAAAAGCAGGACATTTCCTCGGGGGGATTGGTGGCTGAAAACGTATCGAGTGCGTTGGTAAAGCTGGGGTCCAACAAGCTGGTAGTTTCCAATAAAAGCAATTCTCAAGGACCATCAGCGGCCAAGCTGCAAGAAGAAGCTGAAATCACACATGTTTCCACTACAGCATCTGACACTGCATCTCCCAAAGAGACTAGAAAGATGATGCCAAAGGGATCCAACAAACTGGTGTTGTCAAAAAATCCAAGCAACAGTACATGTAGCAGCAACAATCATCATTCAAAATCATGGAACAAGTACTCTGCAAAAGAAGGAGACCATCTTCAAGAGGCAAAGAAAACAAAGAGAACTCGATCAACGGCATACAGCCATGGTCCAACCGTTAAACGGGTCAAGATCTACGACACCATGAGCGAGGCATACCAAGACGACAACAGCGACGCTGCAACTGCGAACAACAGTGAACAACAAGGTAAGTCATTGACCAACGCTGCCTACCGAGAAACCTACGGTGGCAATCGTCTGGTCAGAGTCAATCAAGAAGACACACCAATCTGCCAAACATTTCTACGTGGCATCAAGTGCGAAAATGAACGTTGTACCAAACGACATGATGTCCCAAGAGAATCCGCAATGCCAATCTGCTCCTTCTTTCAACGACACGGCCAGTGTCTAAAAGGTTCAGAGTGCAGGTTTCGTCATGTCAAGGTCAACCCCCTCGCCACCATTTGTCCCAGCTTTAATCTATTGGGATATTGCGATGACGAAGCCTGCCCGATGAAGCATGTGGCTGCCACAAAAAAAGTAACAGCCAATGGCAAGCGGAATTCGTATCATCATAATCGTGGCAGCAACAACAAACAGCGGACGTCAAAATCGTACCGATAGAGTACATTATGTCCAAAGGTAAGGAAACATGAGACACCCGGCAACTGGAAGTTGCGTGATGCTGTATTTGATTTGTTCAATTCTTGCGCGTTTTAAAATGGTGGGTAAGACACTCGAGATTTTATGCACTCGGGAACGATTGAATGATCAGTCTTTCATGATGTGAACTAACTGGCCACGGTGGTCTGGACAGTCATGCATTCATCATGTAAAGGGGAGGATTGAATTCAACAAGGTTATCAATCAAACGATGGGGCTCATCTTCGTATTCCATGTATGGCCATTTTAATCTATAGTGTTGTATTATTTAAAAACCATCGACAGCGAATGGATATATCGTTACTTCCCCTTCTCGACGGCCATTGCAGGGAGTGAGTGCAGTCCATAGCTGGGATCAAGCCAACATGGTACCGGTGTGCTTAGACGTACTGTTCGGGCAGCCATCCAGATCATCACTAGCACTTAGCAAGAGACTATCAGTAGACAAGGGCTCTGTACCGGCATCCTATGTTACCGAACCCAGCCAAAATCGGAGGCAAGTTAACCAACCAACTTCGCAAGAGAAAGGGTTGAAAGCTACATGTAGCTATGGAAACGTAACAATGAAGTCAGGCTTGCCAGTTCCACCAACACATATCCAAGAGGCTTGCCTTAGCCACATCAAAACTACAGTACTTCGCTATAAATTTAATATCAACGTCTTTTAAAATCATTATTAGCTACAGAGTGTATGCATATTTCACAAGCTGGGTCTGCTACGGTAGGTGTACAATCCATGGGCTTCTTTACAGTACTAATAGATCCAATGCTATATATTGACAGTCGAGGGAACTCGAGATGTGGGGAAAACTTGATTGGGTGGATGAATCACTGGAGAAAATCCACCGCTACCATTGATGGCCAAATTCCTGGCGGCGTGTGCTTGGATAGCCTTGCCTAGGAAGAAATCGCTGCCGGTGGACAGAGAAGAGTCGTCTTCGTCAATGGGAATCAGGTCCCCGCTCTTCAAGTACTCCTCCTCCAGGGCATCCACAAATGCCTTGTGCAGGCAGCAATGGACCAGCACAATTTCCACTAAAACCAGCCCAGCAAAAGCAAGGGCAATATACAAAGTGACGGTGTTCGTGCTAGTAGTGCCCTCGTCGATAATGTGACTGATGGAAATAGCTTCGGCTGCCAATCGAATGCAAAATGCCGAAAGACCAAGCCCTGAGAGAATCAGCGCCGCGGTGGAGAGGCGATGGCGACTGCCATTGGCACGTTCGACCTGCCGTCGTGAGACACCGGACTTGTGAAAGTTTGGTAGCACTACCATGTCAATCTTTCCAATACCATCGGGATTCTTCTTGGCCTCTTCATCATCGTGGAGCATTTGGAGCATTCTCTGAACCTGCAACGGCGAATCCAGTGGTATCGATTCTTCGCATTGATCACACGTGTTGGAATAACAGGGCACCAAACCCCTTCGTCTCCAGACCACATCGTCTTCATTGGCCTTTATTTGCTTTCGAACTTTTGTCATGTAGCTCCCCTCGGCAATCGGTTTATTGTACTCAACAAAGAGAACGTACTCCGTTGCCATTGCATCTTTGTCGGAAGATCCCCATGCTGCTTTGCCAAACCTCTTAAACTCTGCCGAAACAACCACAGCTTCAATGACTTCCCCCTCTTGCAGATATCGTTTCATGAGTCTATCCTCGAGGGTCGAGAAATAGGCTATAGTGGCCACCACGGAGAGAATGCAAAAGGCCAGAAAGGCCGAGAAAGAAATGATAATGTAGGTCTCATCTCCATTGTTCTTCCCGTTCTGTGTGTGACTAAAGGCTTGCCCAAAGTCTTCGGCCTTAGCGACGTGGTTTGACACGAAAAGCAGTGTCAAAGTAATGAGGGAGCGTGTGGTGGATACATCAGGCGATGATCGCGTCATTTTGGTGTTTCGAAAGATACCCCTTGACTTGGCGGCCTGACCATCACACACACTGAGCTCTACTGGTACTATCTAGCCAAGGCAGTCAATCGACCACAGTTGGGCTGACTAACTAACACGGCAATTTATTCGTTAGGTTGTTTGCTGCTGTAATGATGAGGACGCGAAGATAGGCTCAGATTGACTACTGTACGATGAAGAGTGGGTACAGTGTAGTGTTTTTGGCGCCCTGCCTTGCAGCTTGACGTCCCGGTGTCAACAAGAATTGCTTGTTGATGAGAACCCTTCTTCCGCGATAATAATTAATTAAAAGCTTCTATTGCTGTCGAGAGCTCTACGAGTACCGTGGAACGCATAAGCAAGGAGGCATCAAACCAATGTCTGCTCAACGATAACCACAAGTCAACTGCTTGGCCGTTGAGCGTGATGAGGAAGAGAGCAACTGCAACGAAAATGTGAGCTACCCATACAAAATACAGATTTTCACTTTGGAGGTTTTACAGTCAGGGAACACGGCTTATGTCCTGGCAAAGTATCAACGATTCCTCATTGCTAAACAAAAGCATTTTTAGAGCTTGTGGATCGTGAACGCGTGGGGACATGATGCGTCCCACCGTACCGGTACCGGTACTGGTACTGTACGGCTGTACGGTAGCGGTACACGTACAGCACCATCAAGTTCTAACGATTATTGCTTCCATCCACCTTTACATACATTTTCAACTCCCAAGGTACCAGTACTCTACCGTAGTAACGGGCTACGGTACCGTACTGGTACGGTAGTTGTAATGGTCTCTTCCAGGTTTGGCAACATGAAAATTATGATCAGCGTCCGAGTAGTTCGTACTCATCTGCGCGACAAACAGCTGCAGGATCCTCTAGCTAGCTACTAGCGACCAGAGGGAATTGCACGCACAAGGACCGAGGGCGATTGGTCCACCATGGGTGGAGGTCCCGTGAACGGTATGAAGTCCATAGTAGTGTCCTTGTGGGCAGTTTCAGCCTTTGAAAATGAAGTCATACAAAGAATCTGATCTTGAGGTTTCTATGCTTGGAACTCTTACAATTAACGCCGACTACTCATTCGTACCGGTACACTTGTAGTATGTGATTGCTTGGGCGGTGGGAAAAGATCTGGTCCAGGAGGCTGGACAAGAGTGAAGCCCGCTTCGGGGAAAAGCTGAGGCCTCCATCCGATGCGTGAGCTGCGTACTGTACCGGTACCATGGTACTCTCATCGGTACAACCGGTACGAGTACCACAACCCGTACCGGTACCAATACGTATGCATGGTACTAGAACAGAGACTTTGATGTGATGCCTTCTCTGATGGGTTCTCAGGTGTCAAAGAACAAATAATGATCCATTGGAGCAATCATTGGCAACGCATTTTTTTGTCCAATTTGCGGACATGCAACATGCGCCACGAATAGAGCATTCGGTCGTTGAGTGTTAAACAAGAGCAAGTCCTTCGAGCAGGCCCGTCACATTTTCGTTGGGAGTAAATCGCAAAAATAAGCAGGACATGATGACGCCTGTGTTTCCACCCCTCTTTCTCTTTGATTTGCGCACTTCCGGGTAAACTCCAAAACATCTGGGGAAAAAGAGCAGGTGCGCTCACAAAAGCCTGCACAGAATCCCGCAAAAGCAAGTCCGCATTTTAAATTTGGCCCATAGCATCATGAAAGAAGAGGACTTGGAAGAGCTTCAAATGATCGGTAGATCCCGCTCCAACGAGGAGAGGAGTGAATGTTCGTCGACCCGTAGGAAGCGCGAGAAGCAGGACACAGCCCGCACCACTGTCGACAACGACGATGTGGATTCCTTCTTTCATGGATCAAATGGTGATGACGGAGAAGAGGAGGAGGCTCCGAACGAAGAACTGGAGAACTTGGGCTGGGGTCGCGGAGTCGTAAAGGACTGGAAACGCACGGTTGGCACTTGGTGGTGGTACGAGATGACTAACTTTGAACAAAAGACGATCGCTGTTACGTTGTAAGTGATCATGCTGCGATGGGTGTTGGTTCGTTCCTACTGTAATTGGATTCCCATCCGTTGTCTCAAACCTGTATTGCTGTGCCTGTACCTGCAGCTTCATGTTCTTCGCCGCGATTGCCCCCGCGATCACCTTCGGGGCCATCTACGAGAAGACCACGGGCCACTACATTGGTGCCGTAGAGATGCTCGCTGCAACTGCATGGGTGGGCATTGTCTATGCCTTGATCGGAGGCTCCCCCGTCATGATCAACGGAGGAACCGGGCCGATCCTGGCCTTCTCTGGAGTGCTCTACAAGTTGTCAGGCAGCCTTGACGTTCCATTTCTGACCCTCAGCGCTTGGACTGGACTCTGGGTCATGCTTTTTAACGTGGTGGCTGCGTTTGTCAACCTGAATCACTACATTTTGCTCGCCACAAGGTTCACAGATGAGATCTTTGCCATGCTGATCTCGGTCATCTTCATCATCAATGCGCTTGGAAACCCTTTTGCTCCTGTGGGACTCTACTACTATTTTGACCCCAATCACACGTCTCACGATGATTATGACAATGAATCCAGCTACTCATACCTCTCAGTGGCAATGTTCAGGTGAGTCTAGTAGGAATCTGCATATCGCGTCCATGAATCACCACGACAGCAATAGTACAGCCGCATGCCACTCACGCTTCGTTTCCCTTCCCCTTCAAGTGTCTTGATTGCCATCGGTACAACAGCGTTTGCAATCTTCCTTAGGGGCATCAAGTTCTCCAGATTCCTGTGCAACCAATGGTCCCGATCCACAATGTCCGATTTCGCTGTGACCATTGCAATCTTTTGCTTCACTGCCCTTGACCACTTCGTCTTCTCAAGTGTACACACTGAAAAGCTCAATGTCCCTGATACGTTCGCCCCCACATTCGCCTGCTGCGATACTGCTTGCGACTCATACTGGCCCACCGATTGCCCTGATCTTGAAGCCCCCCATGGCCGCCGTCCTTGGTTGGTTGATCTCTTTGATCTCAACGGGCACACTTACGTTCCATTCTTTGCCGCTATTCCGGCAATGCTAGCTTTCATCCTGGTCTTCCTCGACGATGGAATCACTCTTCATTTGATCAACCACCCCAGTCACAAGCTTACTCACGGCGACGCGTATAACCTCAATACGCTTGTCATTGGGCTAATGGTTGGTGTCAACGCCATGTTGGGGTTCCCATGGCTCGTCGCAGCCACCGTCCGATCTCTGAGCCATCTCCATGCCCTGGCAGAGAAGACGCAAGATGGGAAGTTCCAAAGCGTCCTTGAGACTCGTCTTACGAATCTCTTTGTTCATGCTTTGATTTTGGGATCCATCTTTGTTCTGCCAGTATTGAAGCTAATTCCAGTCCCTGTCCTTTACGGCGTCTTCTTGTACATGGGGCTGACGTCTCTCAGTACCAACCAATTCTGGGGTCGGTTCACCATGATGTTCATGCAACCCTCGCGCCATCCCAAAGGCCTACCCTATACCGACCATGTTTCACACAAGCGCATGCACCTCTACACGGGCATTCAACTTGCTTTGTTTGCCCTGCTGTACGTTATCAAGAGCATCAAATCCATTGCGATAGCCTTTCCTGTTGTGATTGCTCTCTGTATCCCCATTCGTCTGTACGTACTTCCCCGTCTCTTTGAAAAGCAAGAGCTGGTGTTCTTGGATTCGGAAGATGATGAAATTGAAGAATGGATTGGCAAGATTGCCGTGGGTGATGATACTGAAGAACGCTCGGGAGAGGATACTATGCTTGATTTCATTGAACCTGAAGAGAAGCAACATTTGGAAGAGATGGTGATGCAGGAGATTGATGACAGCGCTTGAATGAAACGAACATGGTGGTTCCGATAATGTTGTGTTGGCTACATTGAAGGATGATCGACCGCGTGCACGAATCTTCAATCATGCTGGAACCGAGATGACAGTGTTGGTGCTCTCTCCTTGTATCATTGTAATTGTAATCTGTCCTATGTATAAGCAAACTGTAATAGTGTGCAATATGAAACTTGTGCAACGTTAACAATGAACTCGTCATCGTTGCGGACTCAGACACCAACAACCCGGAGTGTTTCGTGACTAGCTGGTAGTGCACCAGGCTGGAGATTCTATTCACCTCGGCAGTCTTGCTGCCAGAGCCCTCAACCCCTTTAATTCCGTCTCCTTGTGAGACGGCGCACCTTTTGGTTACCCCCTCAGTTGCACTCTGAAATCGATTGGCTCGCGTTTACTGTGTAAATTAGTGTACCCGCACTTCAGTTGCAGAATCAACGGTCATGTGTATCGTTAAGTAACAAGTTCTCTTTCGAATTTTTTAGATTGATTCGTGGAATAAAAGTGTGTTATTATTGAAGGCACAGCACTGACTTCTCTCCCTCATTCAATTCCTATGGTAAACATGAGGTAAATCCAAGCTTGGCCGACAACAATGGTGAGTGCTTTATCCAATCGGCCGATCGATCGATCGCACCTCTATTATTATCCAAGCCTCACTCAAGCCGGCTGTCTCCGGTGCAGATTCGAAAGCCATCCCTCATTGAATCATATGGACCGTGGGATGGCAGTCAGTTATCGGCCCATGACGGCCAAGTTGGAGAACAAGGGTAAGTCGCTGGTTTTCTTCAGTTCAGCACAGAAAACAAAACCTATATCTATTTGTTGTTTTCTCTGCTGCACTGCGGACGGCCGGCGACCTACCATTGTCGAGTTCTTTTCGAACGAACGACCGCTCCGGATAACAAGATGAGAGGCTACCGCTACGGAGGAGGAGGCTCTGTTAACTCCAGCCCTACCAACAGCCTGAACAGAGGAGCCTATCGTCGTCGAGTCATTGAAAGGCAACGCCACCGGAAGAGGCAACAACACACAAGAGAGTGGATCCTCCTACCGGATTCATCCCTTCTTGTTATTTCATATTGTTTTGGTGGTGATTCCTGTGTCGGTACCCATTTTCCTGTATGCGCAGGTCAAGTACTGTTGCCACTAGCTATGATAGCTGGCTATGATGGCTGGATTGACAATGTTCGGTTGTGCATGTATTCGTCATAAGGATCCAATGCAAGGTACCGGTAATGGAGTGTAGCCAGTAAAGCGGAATCTGAGTGTGTTCGGTACTGTTGCCACTGTCACGGATCGATGTAACTATCCTTTGTGTGTTCGGTACTGTTTGACACTGTCACGGTCGAATGTAAACTGTATGGTAAGCCGGCTACCAATGTCTTGATTGACAATATTCGTTGCATGTATTTGTCATAAGATCCAATGCGAGGTACCGGTAACCTAGCGAGCAAAGCCGACTGTTTGTACTGTTGCCACTGTCACGATCGATGTAACTCTCGCTAGCTACGGCTACAATGGCTGGATTCATAATGTTCGGTTGTGCATGTATTCGTCTAAGATCCAATGCAAGATACGGGCAATGGAGTGTAGCCAGCAAAGCGGAACCTAAGAGTGTTCGGTACTGTTGACACTGTGCACCAATTTAAACTGTATGGTAAGCAGGCTACAATGGCTGGATTAACATATTCGTTTTGTGCATGTATTCGTCATATAGGATCCAATGAGGTAACCGAGTGCACGAGCAAAGTCGAACCTGAGTGTGTTCGTACTGTTGCCACTGTCACCGATCGCATGAACTCTTACGGTAGTCAGCTACGATGGGCTAGATTGAATAAGTTCAGGTTGTGCATGTATTCGTCATAAGGATCCATAAAGAAGGTACCGGCAATGGAGTGTAGCAAGCAAAGCGGACCTAGTGTGTTCGGTACTGTCTGGATTGACAATATTATTCGTCATAAGGATCCAATGTGAGGTAACCGAGTGCAGTGAGCAAAGTCGAACCTGAGTGTGTTCGGTACTGTTGCCACTGTCACGGATCGATGTAACTCTCTGCCTACGGTACCGTAGCTGGCTACAATGGCTGGATTGCATGTATTCGTCATATGGATCCAAGTAGCGAGCAAACTGAGGAAACAGGAGACGAACGCTGAAAAAAAGCCGAATTGTTTTTCTGCTACGGCGGTCCCTGCAGGTATAAGGGTAGGGTTAGAATGCAAATAAGCCAGCAAAAACTAAATAAGTATCCTAGGATGGTGCTTTCTTTAAAAACCAGCTAAAGCTATTTACATGCATCCTAGTAGGGGGATCTGCTTCTACCAGGAAAAACTCTGAAGCCAGAGAAACCTATATAACTAGTATTCTAGCTAGCTAGGGGTATCTGCTATGGGAATCTGCTTCTAGCTAGGGGGGATCTGCTTCTAGCTAGCTAAGCGCAAGTTAAGCACTAGCTAAGCACAAGAGGTATCTGCTTCTAGCTAGCTGGCTAATAGGGGTATCTGCTTCTACACTGAAACATTTCTGCCGAGGTTACACAGCTCCGCTGGCTTAAATCCTTCGATTCGTGCTCCAGCCCAAGAGCGGAGAGCGATGAAGACAATGAGGTTGTCATGGCGAAATCCCGAAAGGCTAGAGAAGAAACGCTCTTTGCGTACTCAGCTGGTTCTATGCTACTTGCCAAGAACTGTACTACCGTAGTACATGTACTCAAGTACGGTGCAATGGTCGCGAAGAATGATTCAATCACATATCTGGCTAGTAAGTGCTTTTTAACCTATCTACTTGTGGATGCAAGTGCTATCAATTCCAACTCGAGACGACGTCATGCGGAGCAGTTACCAGTGTAAGACTTCCGCTCTTTACAAGGCTACTTTGCCATTCATGTTTCCACTCTCAAACATGAATTCCAAGATTTTGTTTCCATTGATTGACCCGAACGTATTCAGTACTTCCATCTCTGTAGCAGGGACCAGGCTTATGCTACTCTGCGTTGTCTTAAACATTTCATAGGGCTGCATCTGCACATCTGTAGGAACCCCTGTTTCAAAAAGTTGTTTCTTGGCGGCAAAGTCTCGTTCGTCCAGCATCATTACAAACGAAACGTTAGTCTCGCTGCACGCGGGTGTGAAGGTGATCTGTTTGTTAGGCATGGTGATAGTTGTAGTTTCGTTGGGCTGATGCTTGTGATTTTGCTTTGTGGAGCTTGTTGAAATGATTTTGTGAGCAACAGATCCATTCGATGCTTTCATGTATTGAGTTTCATGGCATCGAGACTTCCGACATGCCTTGAGACTTCGGAGCCTTTTGAAGATTCCTTCGCGACTTTGCCTCGAGATCCGAAGCGTTCCGTAAACATTCCAGTTGAACTGGCTTATTTTGAACTGACGTCACCTTTCGAGATCTTTCGCTCCCTCTCCATTTTGCCACACGGCATTTTTTGTGTTCTGTGTTGTCCATTGCATTGGTCATCCCCGGCTTCGGCTGAAGCTACTCCTAATAAGTTACAATCCATAATTCACGGTTGTGCTCTTGTTGTTGCCATGTTCCGCACTTCGAATATCTTGTTCCTGCTGACAGCATGCTTGTCGTTAGAAGGTGCTTCTTGCTGGCTGTCTTCGGTTTCTACCGGCGATCGTAGAAGCATTGCCAGCTCTGCTTCCGCAACGACAGCCCTACACATGAACATGTTTACAGACATTGGCAATATGCTCGGCGGTGGCAAGCTGACTCCTCAAGACGAGTTGGTGCACGGAGAACCACTCGGCCCCATAAATGACAGCGATGAAGTCCTAACATTGGCCATTCAAGAACGGGCCATCAGTTTCACAGGCGAAGATTTCGATGTCTATGATCTCAGAGCGGATCAACCCTTTTGCCACGTCAAGGGGGCTATGCTGCACTTGCCAGGAAAAGACAAGATGAGAGTTTTCATGGAAAATGGTGACAAAGTTGCTGTGTTGGATCGCAAGCTGATTGCCATGACTCCTACTTATGATATCCACCGAGGAAATGGAGAAAAAATGGGATGGATCGAGAAAGAGGTCGTCGCACTAACTGACACTTTTGATGTCTACACTGAGCCAGCTGGAGGATTTGGAATGTTCAAGCCCCCTCCTGCCTACCGCATCGAAGGCGATTTCGTCGATCGCCAATTTGTCATGAAGAATTCCAAGGGAGAAGCAGTCGCAAAAGTTACCAAGGACAGTTGGATACAGTTCGATGCCTTCAATCATTATCAGCTGCAGATTGCTCCAGGCATGGACACAACTCTTGTGGTTGCCTGTGCCTGTGCCATCGATGAAGAATTTGACGAAGAACACAAGAAAAAGAAGGAAGAGTAGCAACAAGCAACAATGAGCCATGCCAATAACTAGATGTAGTACAGTGACAGCGCTGCTAGCCGCGATAGAAAACTTTGAAGACAAGACTGAGCAGCACAACTTTTGGATTATAGAAAAGCTCCAGCTAGAGCCTTACCAGTACTCGCTGCACCAATGAAGAAAGAAACACTGTGGTCAGGAATCCGTTGTTGGATTGAGCATGGCTTTTGTTTTTTGCTGCAATAGAATTGTGTTGTAGGCCAATTGGCCCACTTGAGCTGTCTGTGTGGAACCCTTGGGCTGGTTGCTGGGGCATTGAAGTCAACGTATCAGGTGACGGAGGATTCCCTGCCAAGACCTACTTTTCTCACCTTGTGAGGGACAACTGAACAGACTAAACAATGGAGTTAGTCCTTCCCTTCGTCGCCTGACGGGGCTGTGGCAGGCTGGACCGATTTGAAATAGAAACAAGCATCCCATTCTCTTGGTACAATTTTAACGAAATAGTCATTCTCACGCATAGAGTAGAGTGTAGATAGCCAAGGCTTTGTTTCTGAGGGTCCTTCTTTCCAAGGAAGAAAATAGCACTGTCCAGATTGAGGGATCAACTCCATGAATTCTTCCAAGCCATCTGGAGAAGCTGGTGGAATCCTAGCAATACTGCGAACGTCAGGCCCCTTTTGCCACTCCTTCCAATAGTTCCCACCTCCGTAGGCCATTCCAATGACGTAGAGTTTCTCTCCCAGAGATTCCTTGAGCATGTGCCCGGCAGGGGTGAAGAATCCCCATGTCTTGTCTTGATACTGGCATTCGGTTTTGGTGTGAATAACATGGTGGATAATGATTGCCTTTATGGGATGGTCCTGTCGTTTTTGCCTCTCTTTTAAGGCCCACAAAACGTTTCGGTACATAGCCATTTCTCGACCATTGAGGCCACCGAGTTTGGAGGTGTCTGGGTCGCATCTTTGGGCATAGTTCCTGTAGTAGTGCTCTGCTAACCTCATGGATTCCAAGCTTTGCCGTGCCCACTCATATTCAAAGTCGTTTCCTGAGGCTGCATTTACATACTCCTCTCTATTTGAGTCCATTTCATGCAAGGCATTGTCCAGAATGGCTTCCAGCTCACACTGTTCAAACCTTGAGAGCTCAAATTGATACACAAGCCTTGCATTTTGGCCCATGCGATCAAGGTAGGGTTTCAATTCGGAATGCAGTGTGCTAGCAAAGGCCTCGTCCACAGTGTTGAGATAGTCAAAGATGCGCTGAAATGGTGTTTTCCAGTCTTTATAAAAGCCACCAATGTCACTGCCATAATAGTGCAAAATGTTGTCATGGTCTTGGTTGTATTCTCTCATCCACTCAATCAAGTCTCTACCTTCCACCCACTGACTGTACATCTGGTTGAGTCCTTGGCGGTACATCTCCTCTTTCTCCTCTTTGGTGGTTGGGGAGTATTTTCCTTGGACGTAATCGAAGATGAGCCTGGCTTCTGGAAACGCGGTCTCTGAGATTATAGTATTGAAGCCAAACTCAACCAGTAAACGAACCATTTTGTGGCACAAAGTCAGCATCTCTCGCGAATTGTGGCATCCCTCAGATATGGCAACCACCTGTGTTCCATCTCCGATGACAGTGGCTATCTTTTTCAGATCACTGTCATCATGGATGTCCTCGTGAGGGTTGATGGTGGGGATGGGGATCAGATTGGCTTGAGCCCACCGCAAGAATTTCTCCTCGGCAGCATTTGCCCGGGTGGCAAGGAATCGTTGACGACGGTAGCTTGGGCGCAGAGAAGTGAACGCGAAGTTCCGTCCAATGCAATGGTGAGACTGAGGTTTTGTCAACAGGACAAGATAGAAGGCGATGCGAGACACAGATCCCATTTTCATTTTCAAACCTGGAAACAAACTTTTGTGATGAGATGAAGAATTCGGAAAGCCAGAGGGAGCCCTAACGGGGTGAATCCAATCTGCTGTTCTTGTGGGCGCAATGACTCGACCGTGCCGTCACATGAGGAACATGCATGCATGTATGCACAGGTATGCACAAAAATCGTCAACGAAAATTGTATGCAAAATACGAAAAAACTATCCACTGATATAATCCAGAAGTAATACTTGACAATACTGAAAGTTTTCGGGAGAAATGGTCAGGACAATACTGACAGTGTTCGGGAGAAGTGTTCAGGAGAAGCGTTCGGGAGCAGTGTTCTAGAGAAGTGTTTCCAGATTTGCAGAGGAAAGCGATTTTCAGCTTGCCTTTTGAAAAACAAGTAACTCCTTCCCAAAAGTTCAATACATCAATCAATCTCATCTGATCTTCAAGCTACAACGCCATGATGGGCACGGCACAGCACGGCTTGCTGCTTAACCAAAGTAGACGGCAAGTCCCATAACTGCCATGAGACTCAACATGAAACCTTGGGCCAAGGCAGCACCGGAGACGGAAACGCTGCAATCAATACCAACATCCGAGTAAACCATGTTGATGCCCTTGACAACTTCGTCTTTGGCTTTCTTCAGTTCATTTGCATCGCACTTTTGAGTCGAGCAGTAGGGAATATTCTTTGCTGTCAAAGTAATATACTCTGCTGTCAAAGTCTTTCCAGAGCAAATGGAAGACTCGTCATATGTCTGGAAGATGGCTCCAGTCAAGTTTGAGCAGGTCATTTCCAACCCTTCGGATGCAGGGAAATCGGCAAAGTCCACAGAGCATGTGGTGCCAGTGCAGTTGGTAAGGATGGAAGTCATTACAGGACTAAATTCATGCACTTGGAGAATTAGGCACACCGAATCAGACAAAACGGACACAGCACTCAGGAGGAACGATGCGGCAACGGATCGAAGGGCAGTCATGGTGAGATGGTTTGCGTTGGAATAAGATAATAGTCAACCCAGAGCAACCCAGAGGGGTCTGTCAGCGTGTCACGATAATGTCTGTGTAGTGTTGAGAAAATAGTCACAAATTGTTGTTTGCTAGTAATACTGCAGCTTATTGGGGAGTAATTTGGTTTTAGATTAAGCTGAAAAGCAAAAGTGAGGATTTTCTGGTGGTGCATAGCAATTCTTGTGATTGAATTGGATATAAGGACCCCCGTAACTTTAGACCTAAAACTCCCTCAGTTCCTTGCATGATGAATTTGCATGCGAACCGGACTAGATGATTAATACACGAGTCAATAGTAAAGAGGTGTCAGGTATGTTTCCTCCAACACACTCCTGCACGGTGCCCTAAGTGGCTACCGTGGAACGAATAAAATAAATTAGGCAATCAAACAAGGGGTGGATGCCCCATGATGAAAGCCCTGTGCTCGTGGAAGAGCTTGCCCTGAAGGGCTTCGTGAAAAAATCTCCAGCATCTCCAAGTTGGCAGTACACCACTCTGAGGTGCCTTTGCCAATCTGATCGTAATGAAAAAGAAACGAATGTTGTAGCCCGAGTTCTTTGCCGAACTGCTTTGCCATTCTTGCAAGAATGATCGTGCTTTTGTTGTCCTGCATGAGGATGTTGTTCCTTCACAACTATCCCCTCTCTTCAAGGAACAACTTTGCCCACAAGCATGGGCGACATGACATCGTCTGCTCCAATCAATTCCGCTTCCGTGCTGCTCCTCGAATTCAATTTCTGTTTCGCAGACACAGACAGCACCGCGCCACTTCCAAGGACATGACTCCTCCTGTATGGGAACGTAATCAGGATGGACTGCAAATGATGCATCACCCCCAAGTGATGATGCGTATGTCACAATATGTAGGATCAACTTGTCCTGCGCCGTCTGATCCAAAAATTGAGGCCTTGACCAACTGTCCCAATCATCGATGTTGGGCTTCTGACACGATGCATAACACAGTAGTGAAAGTCTGCACATCTGGTCGAGCACGCTTGCACAGAACAACAGCTTGGCTGCAAAGGTAGATAATGGTTTCCCTGTTCTTGTCAATTCAGGATGGTGCAATCACCAGAGCTGAATAGGTCAGAAGGAGCTGCACTTGGTACCTTTTTCATTGCCCCAAAGTCACTGGAAACTCTGAGACCATTTTCTTGACATAATCTATCATGTATAATCACAACCTTTCCTGGTTCGGAAAAGTCCACCGTCTCCCCAAGTAGTCATGCTTGGGACCACGGTTTGCCTTCACGCTCCATAGTTTCCATACCTAACGTTGAACCATTCCAAAGTCTGGTCATTCACCAACTTCAATCTGTGGCTTGACATTAGATCGTCAACATGGAATCGATTGTTTGTTGGTACGCTTTGATCATGCGGTTGGCCTCACAAGGATCGTATTTGTTGGAACACAAATCCAATTTGAACGAAGGTCACTCTGAATAGCTTGTACCAAAGAAGTTCTGCCAAAACCATGCCATTAATGGCTCTCTCCACGACCACATAGAGGACAGGACGTCCCTTTTTTGGTAATGTCAGGAAGGAGGCATATGTGTCAGGATCAATTCGACAAGTAAGTCTGCAAGGGTTCTCTCAATGATCATGAGTACCCTGTCTTCACCTTTTTTGACTTTTGGCATTGGTTTTTGGATGAACGCATTGGAAACATCCAGAGACATCACATCCCTATCTTAAGATGCATCGACACACATGGATAACATGAAACCCTCAAGTGAAACTGTTGGATTTCTGGCATCTTCTTTCTGATGGTAACACCCCTTGTAGGTTTCCCATTGAAGACTGCACGGGCCTTTACCGTGCCATCCCTTTTCTCTCTCACAAACATGAGTGCCATTTGTGCCTATTTCAATTCAGAATCACTGCATTTGTTTGGGTCGACTGGACTGAAACACACTCTGCTGTGTAGCTGGTCCATCTCTTTGAGCGCCCGCTTTTCCCTGGCTTTGTTGCCCCACACTTCCAGACCCTTGGGTAAAAGATGTTGTTGGGCATGGCTGCTCTCATTCTTGACTTCTGCTGTGGCACTCCTGTGATTACAGGAGTCCAAGAACAAAGCTAGATGTTTACTTGTCTCTGTCTCATACAGTAGTTGTTTCTTCGCTTCGTCATTTTGGACGAAGGTGACTCCTTCTTTGCTTCGGCTGTGGCAATCCGAGCTGAGCGTCTAATTCCAACTCGGGAAAGCTTGGAAGCCTTGGCCGGTCCAGCGAGGTTTCCATCATTGGTATCACTGCTGGTGCCGTCTCTTCAACCTGTAGGTTTGTTTGGACTTGTGCTTGTTGGATTCCTTGGAATCCCATCTTCTCCCTCTTCATCGGAGTCAATGTCTGTGGCATACTGTTTGGATGCCCTTGGAACTAGCCCTGGGGCGTTCCCATTCTCTCGCTCAGAATCCTCTACATGATTCCGTGGATTCCACTTAATCTTCGTCCGAAGAGTGTCCATAGACTTGTAGTTAGCTCTCATTTCCATTGAACCCATCCACTCCTGCAGGCAAACCTACAGGTAAAAATTCCACAAAGTCACGGTTGTGAAAGTTTAGTGTTTTCTTACCCTCACCGTATGCTTTCTTTTCGACAGCATCAGTGACTGAGCGAGGCATTGGCATGATGCGGACATGCTGTCGAGTGATCACCTCAAAGGTGACGAGGTCCATCACACGTTGTCCACCTTTGTGGTTGTCCATCAATGGAAAGAGATAGATGCAATCCAACCGCCTGGGCTCCATGGAATTGAGCTTGTCTGTTTCGTTGGAAGCGAGACAATTGCTCCCAAAGGTGTACTGTATATCTTTGTAGTTTGTGGTCCGACCCTCCAAGATCTGCTGGGGAGGACACACTTTAGAGATTCCATAAAGCGCGGGGAAGAGGTTAAGTTTACAATTATAATCATCCGTACAGCCTTGTACACAAATTCCACAATCATCACCTTTGGCATCACCATGAACGGTGTTGAATGCCAGGCTTCGCGGATGCGCTCCTTCATGGTTCGGATGTTGCGCTCAGCGGGCCCACTGTGAGTCTGAGCTGCTCCTTGGTTGAGCTTGAGCTCCAAGTCGTTCTTGACAGGATCAATCAGGCACTTGAACTCCAGGCCGCACTGTATTTCTTTGATCTTGTAATCATTATTTCAGTACCGATAAAAAATCTTGAAAATGGCGGCATAGAATGATTTTCTCTTCCTGTTGGTCAGGTATGCTGATTCGCGGTGTCGGATTTGCAAGTCAGTGAATGATAGGAAGGCAATCTCACATACATAGAACACATCCATGCTTCCGGTCAGGAACCTGTTTGGTTCCACCAGCTCATCAGGTACAGTATGAATACTGACGGTCACTGGTGGGTGGGCGTCTGCGTGTAGTAAAGCCCTTGGCCTTGCCCATGTCGCTCCCGAAAATTATTTCGGCGCGATCGATGTCCTCCAGCTTGACGGGACAGTCGCAATTTGACCAGTCCTGACATGTTGCGGAATCCCTCCAAAGATGGGCGCTGAGGTTGTGGTACAGATTTCTTGCGAGAAATGAACCCTTGGCTTGCTTCTTGGTAAAACCTTCGAGGTTGCCCTCCACCGTCTGGACCAAATTCTGGAATTCCGGTGAAAACTGGTTGAATTGGGCCATGTAATCCAGCAGGTCTTGCTCAATCAACACGCCATACATACCTTTGTCGGTCCTTCCATACCTGTATGGATCCCAGTTTGGCGGTATGGTAGATGTCGTCGTCGACTCTTGAGTCCATGGGGACATAGGATCCATCATGTGCCCTGACGAAGTCATCCACAACAAGAGACAAAGCGTTGAAATTGGCGATGCCTCCTGGATTGGAATAAACATTTCCGTAAGGGGTGTCACCTCCTTGGGTAAGCTTGGTGCTTTCAACATTGGTGGCCATCTAGATTGGTCTTGGAGAGAGACGCTGGCGGACAATCATTCAGTAGCTGGGTTTCTTATAGATGCGTACATGACAAAGTGATTCGGATGGAACCTGTCGCCACTGAGCGAGAAATAAAATCTGGCAGTTTGTAAATAGGGAATTCGAGGTATCACTGTGGGTGTCGTGAGGGACGAATAGTCATGTGGAATCCTGGGGATAAGAGATATGCAAGTAAAGATCAAGGGAGTAAATCGGAAGTCGTCTCCACCATCAGGAATGAAGGTGTCTTGAGCTCCACGAAGTGATACCCACCTTGTCGTAGCAGGTACTACGTGTTGGTCGTACGAAGCTATCCACTGCAAGATTTGGCACTGCCACTCCTGTGAGTTCGTCATCTGCCACTCCTGGTAACTCAAACTCAACTTGATGGTTCTGTTTTTCGACTGATAGTGAGTCTTGGTCTTGGAAATCTTCTTAACAGTTGCCTCGCTGAGTCTCCCGCTGACGCCGGCTTGGTCCACGGTACAAGCAGCGAAATTCATTCTCTGTATTCGAGCTGTAGTCGGAACAGCAGCTCTGATCATTGTCTTGGCCATTCCGAGGGAAGACTCCTTCGAATGGATCCGTGTTGAAGACGGTGTCATGGTGTGCAGAACGACTGAAAATTATATTATGTGTATCATTGTACCGCTGGAGGATAAGGTCGGACCCGATGCTTACACCGTCAGAACCTCCCTCAGCAAGCTGAACATGGCCGTAGCCGGAGTAATAGCTTTCTTCGGATGAAGTCTCATCATGCCTCCACACCTCTGCATAAAGCGGGAATTTGGGCCGCGTCACAAGGAGAAATCGCCCTAAAGCGGAAGCTCCCCAAGAATCGATGAAGCATCTCTCTCG